GAGGACAGCGCTAAGAGGGCCTAGGAGGGCTTCCTGGGACGCTCCTCGGGCGGCCCCCGGGCCTCCCAGTCCGCCCAAGATGGCCCAAGAGACTTCCCGGTCGCCCCGAGAGGGCCCCCGGAGCGCTCCGATACGGCCCAACATGGCCTCCAGAAGGGCCACGAGGCCGTCAAGACGCCCCAAGACGGCTCCAAGAGGCCTTCCAAAAGGGCCCCGGAATCGCCACGGAATCGGACCCGTGCTTGCGAACACCGTTTTCGGAGCAAACTAGAACCTAAGCGCGCGCGAAGCGCGCGCGTGGTTCTAGTATATATATATATATAGATACAAATACGAGTGTATGTACATCGTCATAGTCATGCACATCTATTTATATATATATATATATATGAATATGCGCATCCATTTGCATTACCATATTCACACATTTATACACATACATCAACACATAACCACAAACATATACATACACACGCAATTCCATACACACATGCACACACATACACATATACACGTACACCTATCATTTCGATGTCCATACTAATACGCATACACATACACACATATATATATATATATATATATATATATATATCCTAACGGGTGCACTTGCACCTGGTGGTTCTCTCGTAGGTGGTCCTGATCGTCACCATCGTTCAATGTAGGTGTGTGTTGTGCGTCACTGATGATGTGTGTTGGTTGGTGGTACGTCGTAGGTGGTTCTTGTTCGTACTAGGTTGTGTTAGGTGGTAGCTGTAGTTCGTTGTAGTGCGTGGTTCGTGTTCGTCCTATCACCAGTGGTACAAAGTGATCATCTCGTTTCCGAGGCGCTGTGGTTCGTTACTAGATTGTTGCGGCTGGGCAGTTTGACAAGGTCGTAGGTGGTAGTGCGTCGTACATGCTGGATGGCCTACTGGAGGGAGGGGTCCGTGACTGTAGCTCCTGGTGATATACAGATTAGCATGGGGACCATTGCCAAAAAAATACTGTGCTTTTTGGTGCTGTTTTCTACATGGTTCTTGCAGTTTCTTCATACATGCGAACATCGCAATTCACTGATTCCTGCACCTCTATGGGCCTCTCGTTCGAGACATCCTCACATGACATGGGGTAGGATAAGCAACGCGCGACACACTTGCTGCAAGCACTGTTTTGGAACAACCTGGATTCAGAGGGGAACTTGCGGGACCCTTCCCACCCCCTCCCCTCTTTCCCTCTCCCTCTCCCTACTACCTACTACTACCTACTACTACCTACTACTACCTACTACCTACTACTACCTACTACTACCTACTACTACCTACTACTACTACATACTACTACCTACTACTAACTACTACTACCTACTACTACCTGCTACTACCTACTACTACCTACTACTACCTACTACTACCTACTACTACCTACTACGACCTACTACATACTACTACATACTACTACCTACTAGGGAATCCGAAGGGGTGGATTCCGAAGGGAATCTGGGGGAGTGACTGCGAGGGCAACCTGAACGTGGAGCTCTGGAGCTACGTCTACCAGTGGTGGTTTCGATGCCATCATCCTTTGACAGCGGACAGGCAGGCGCGCTTGGACGAGTACTGGGGGCGTGAGGCTTAGGGCACCTAGGCCTTGCGAACAAAAAGTGAGCAAAGCGCTCTGGCGCCGACAGGGGAGGAGGAGGAGGAGGAGGAGAAATACGAGGACGCCGTGTTTGCAGTAGTAGTACGTAGTTGTACGTAATAGCACGTAGTAGTACGTAATAGTACGTAGCAGTGCGTAGCAGTACGTAGTTGTACGTAATGGTACGTAGTAGTACGTAGAGGTACGTAGTAGTACGTAGTAGTACGTAGTAGTACATGGTAGTACGTAGTAGTACGTAGTAGTACGTAGTAGTACGTAGTAGTAGTACGTAGTAGTACGTAGTAGTACGGAGTAGTACGTAGTAGGACGTAGTAGTACGTAGTAGTACGTAGTCGTAGTAGTAGTAGTAGTAGTAGTAGTAGTAGTAGTAGTAGTAGTAGTAGTAGTAGTAGTAGTAGTAGTAGTAGTAGTGGTAGTAGTAGTAGTAGTAGTAGTAGTAGTAGTAGTAGTAGTAGTAATACCAGTACTACGTAGTAGTACGTAGTAGTACGTACTAGTACGTAGTAGTGCGTAGTAGTGCGTAGTAGTACGTCGTAGTACGTAGTAGTACGTAGTAGTGCGTAGTAGTGCGTAGTAGTACGTAGTAGTACGTAGTTGTACGTATTAGTATGTAGTATTAGTCGTAGGGAGGAGGAGGTGGAGGGAGGACGTACACTTCTGTTACATATATGTACATACACACATATATCATACATACAGATGTGCACACACATACGCACACAGATGTGCACATACATGCACACACGCTTACACAGATGTACACATACACAGGTCGTACATATCTCCGCATGACGCACTTACACATATGTACACATACACACATACGTACACATATACATATACACATATGTATACACACACATACTGACACGTACAAGCATACGTACACGTACACATACTACACAAATCATACATCTTGCACCAGGTGCAAGTGCACCCGCAGGGATCTATATATATATATATGCACATATGTATATAGCGTACTGGGCCTCTGGAGGCCTGGTCCCTTCCCCTCCAGGAGACCGTTGTTTCTCTTCCCGAGTCGCTCTTGATGCCCCTGGGGCACGGTGCGCGAAGGCGCCCAGGGGGCCCAGAATGGGCCAGATCCCGCGTGTTCCCTCACGCCGAGATCGCCATAAAGGGGGGGCACGGGTCCCGGAAGAGGCGTGTCGTGAGGTTATTCTCAGTCTTCTGGCTTTGGGGGGCCCTCCACGGGCCCCAGGGCGGTCAGACAACGGCTCAGGATGAAGGTGCCGTCTTGGGGGAAGGCACCAGGGTCTAGAACTCGTTTCTCTCAGGACCCCTTTTGCCCCCATGCCAACGAGAGGAGGCTCGGGTTCCCCCAATTACAGTCCGTCGTCGTCGTCGTCGTCGTCGAGGTCGTCGTCGTCGTGGTCGTCGTCGTCGTGTCGTTCGTCGTCCTTCCCGTCGTCGTTCGTCGTCGTCGTCGTTCGTCGTCGTCGTCGTCGTCGCGTCGTCGTCGTCGTCGTCGGTGTTTCTTTCTTTTCCTGGACCCCTGCACCTCCGCGGGCGTGCGCTGGTCAAACCATGAATCCTAGAGTCCTAGAGCCACAGGTGCACGAACAAGAGGAGCTTCTTCGTGGAGCCGGACAATGCCACCAGGACGGCCCGCCCCCTCTGGCACGGCGCCCGCTGGGGTCCGCCCCGCTGCCGCTGCATGCAGAGAACAGGCATCGGCCGCGCCTCGCGCCGCCCCCGGGCCTCGTTCCCGGCTGCCCTGATCGCTGGATGCCGAACGTTTCTGGTCGCGACCGCCGTGATCGGCCCCATACAGATGCTGATTCGAATTCTCCTAACGGTCGCGATCGGTTTGCTTCAACGTCGGCTGCGACCGATCGGTCGCGACCGATTTGGAGTGCCGATCGGCCGCTGCCGGTCGCGACCGAAGCAGCCTGCTCTCCGAGGAGAGATGTGTACGGCCAGCTCTCCCGCGGGAGGCGCAGACGGCTGCCAGAGCACGCCTCGCGGGGCCCCGGAGGGCCCTCCTCGACCACGGGCTGTGGAGCATCGCGCCGCGAGTGCGCGCTGCGGGGGAAAAACTCAAAGCGAGGCCCAGAGGGCCCCGCGAGGCCCCCAGGTTCAGGAGCGAAAAAAGGACGTACACGTGCATGAGTCCACGCTGGTTTCGAGGGGGATGCGTTGCGCAACTATTCGTATATATCGCGGCCAGTCTCGCAGATCGAGGGGCCGTGGTTCATGTACATGGCTGGGCGCGTACGTCCTTTGTGGGCTCCCTACAGGTGGCGCGAGACGCCTGGAGCGCCCTGGCCGGGGGGGGACCACTTCGTGGCAGCACGCCGCCTGCCTCCCCGCGGGCTCGGGCAGCGCGGATGGGGGGCCACCACCATCGGGTCGATCGCAGGGGGCGGACAGGGAGGGGGGCGGGAGGGGGGCGCACGAACTCTGCTGCACGCACGCAGGTGTCCTCGGCCCCGCTGCCGGGGGCGCATGCCTCGATGCAGTGGCGCCTCTGGCGCCAGGAGGAGCCTGGAAAGCCGGCGACGCAAGCCGATCCGCGGGCCCGAGCGGGTGGGGAACTCAGAAGAAAAGGGCCTTCTCAGAAGGCGGTCGGATTTCTCAGAAGCCCTCGCGCCTTCTGAGAAGTTTTCTGTGTCTTCGGGGGAGGCTTGGAAAACTTCTCAGAAGGCCGGGGGGCTTCCGAGCCTTATGAGAAGGCCTTCTCCTTCTCAATTCCTCCCCTCGCCCGCCGCCAAGATTCGCTGACCCTAAGCCCCCCTTTTCGTCCGACCCGATTCCCCGCGAGCTCCGTCAGCGCCAAAATGGGGTCACCACCTGGGGGTCGCCGGCCCCTCCGGAGGAGGAAGGTTCGAGGATGCGGGGTCGAGGAGGCTTTGGACGACGTGGAGCTTGTTTGGGGGGGTTCTGGGGGGGGGGGGTTGGCAGGCGATCGCAAACATGGATCAAGGGGGCGTGAATTGGGGACGGGCTTCGTTTCCATGGGAAACCGCGGATTCCCGCCGCCCAGCGAGGCGGCCCCCTCCCACCCCCCCCGGCACTTTTGGGGAGGGCATCTCCCCCGATCCATGGGATTTGGCGACCGCGCGCCAGATCCACGCTTGCGCGCCCCCGACTCTGGGGGGGCCCTGAGGGGTCGTCCCCATCGACGAGGTGGCGACCCACCAGCGGTGGCCCCCCGGGGCACATGCTGGGCGAGCACAGCGGTCCTTCTCTCGAGGGTGGCGTCTTGCTGTCACGGTCGGACGTCATGGGGGACCGTTGTCGGGCCCCCGGGCCACCGCACGTGGGCGCAGGACGAGAGGAACGACTTCCCGGGAAACGGTCTGTCTTGGACTCGGGTCGACACGTCATATCGTCGGAGGTCTGATAACGAGGCAGAAAGAGATAGAGAGAGGGAGGATCAGAAAGGAAAAGGACAAACAACAACAGCAGCAACAACAACACCAACACCAACAACAACAACAACAACAACAACAGCAGCAACAACACCACCACCACCACCAACAACAACAACAACAATTACTAGCACGTGGGGACACACCGTTCTCACCAGTGCCAGGGTTTTCATAGGAGGCGGGCAATACCCCCACTTTGTGGGGGGGGCGGTTCAAGCTCTACCAAATTTCCAAACGACTCTTCGCCACCACCCACACCCAGCTTCCCGCCCTATGACGTTCGGACCCTTCCCTTCGTGGCATGCGGACGACCGTGGCTACTATTCAGGGCCCCGCGGCCGACGACGACGGCGTGCGCGCGCGAAGAAAAAACGAATGTGTCCCGCATGGTATTATGTGACAGGGATGATGGCCCTGGCAGGTGCGCAACCGTTGTTGCAGAAGTTCGAAAAAGTTGCTCGCAAAAGCCCGTTTGACAGAAATGATAAAAAAAGTGTTGGGTTTCCTACGAATCCGCAAGAGCGCGCGGGATGAAATGTTGACAATTTTTTTTTGAAAAACCATTGGTTTTTTTGATGTTTTTATGTTAAAATCGCTACGAAAACTAAGGTTTTGGAAGGATTTCGTCTTGCGCGCGCGAATGTCCACTTTACCTTATTTTTTGCAAGGGATTCTTGAAGTTTGGTCATGTTAGAACAAGAAATGTCCACTTTGCCTTATTTTTTGCAAGGGAAAACCGATCGTAACAACACAACCGGATCTGGTATACCCCGTTTTGCCTGAGACTTCCTCACGAAAGTGATGAAAATGTGGCTGCGGCCTAGGCGCGGCGGGGGGGGCGCGCACCAGGGGTCCCAACAATAATTATTCTTTAGAATTAATAATGTTCAACGACAACGACAACAACAACAATAACAACAAACAAAAAGGGAGAGGGAGAGGAAATAGAAAAAGGGAGAGAGAGAGAGAGAGAGAGGAGTGAGAGGAAAAACGAGGCAAGAGCGGCAGGACGCCCCCTGGCGCACTTCGGGGGTCCAGTGCCGAGCCGAGAAGCCCGCGCGGACCCGCGAGAGTTTGTGTTTCTGCCATGTGTGCGTTGTTGTTCCTCTCTGACCCGTCTCCGAGGCTGGGACTTCTGCACGTCAGCCGTTTGAAGAATCCGTCTTCCAGGACCTCGGGAGGCGCCAGATGTGGGTGTGTTCGGGGCCCCCGGGGCTCAGCTGTGTCCATGCCTGCTGGGGTCCTGAGGCACCGGTGGCCGAGGCGCGGACGCACCCCCTGGCGGGCGCACCACGCCGCGGCCGCCGTTACCGTTACCCTCCCGCCCGACTCCACCCCTGGGTAACGACCGTGTTGCCCAGGAAAGAGCAGGTCGCTTCTCCGCGGCCCCGTGGCACCGGGGCGGCCCCCTGGCACCTGGGCGGCGGGAGAGGGCGTCCAGCCTGCCCGCCCCGGCGTGGGCACCGCGAGGACCTACTTCGCCTGCTCGGTGGAGGACGGCATGATCAGCGCCCTGCGCCAGAAGGCCGCGCAGCCACGGGCTCGGTTCGGCGCCGCGGGGGGGCTCCTCCTCCTTCTTCCTCCCTCCTCCTCCCTCCTCCCCCTCCTCCTCCTCCTCCTCCTCCTCCTCCTCCTCCTCCTCCTCCTCCTCCTCCTCCTCCTCCTCCTCCTCCTCCTCCTCCTCCTCCTCCTCCTCCTCCTCCTCCTCCCTCCTCCTCCACGATTCTTCCGACATCGCGAGAAGCGCGTCAACGGTCGTGATTGTGTTGCGGGTCTGCCTGCTTGGTGCAACGCGGGGTGTGAATGGCTTTCGGAGGCAGGATGCGGGGCTCGAGCGAAACTCGGCGAATCACACGCAAGAGTGGCCCTTCGCCAGAGTGGCCTGCGGTGCGCCAAAAGCTTATGCTCATGGCGTCTTTTCTCTGTCTGGCCAAGGGCCCCACCCGAGCACGCAGGCCGCAGAGGCCACTCCTTGCCCGGGGCCGCTCTGGCGTGCAGCCGAGGAGTGGTGTGACTTTCGCCGGAGTGACCTTTGGTGCGGGCCAAACGGGGTCCCCCGATCGCCGAACGCGAGGCGGCAGTGGCGGCTTGCGCGCCTGCGTTCGGCCCCCTCGCGGCCCCCCAAAAGCCGCGCACCAAAGGTCGCTCTTACCCAGGGTCACTCTTGCGTGTAGCCAGTGTGATTGGCGATCTCGTGGGCCCGTTTCGCTGGGCCTCTCGCTCTTGCAGCGGAGGCGGAGGGAAGAGGCAGCGCGGGGTGCAGCGGCGGCAAAACGAGCAGCATGGGAAGCCCTGGTTCGGTCGAGCCCTGGCGGGATGGGCCCGGGCTTTTTTCGGGGGGCAGGACGGGCCAGGGCCTCCCTCTCGTCGCTGCGAGGGCAGGTGCGGCGGAGGGCTTCCCCGCCCCCCCGGGCGCACCCACCGGGCCCTGGGGACGCCAGGGAACGACTCGCGAGAGGAGCTGGGGGCCCCCAAACGGTGCGGTGACCACACCGTGTGGTGAGTCGGTGGGCGTCCGGGGGCACCGGCACGGTTTCGGGACTCGGGCCGTTCTCCGAGGGCGTCTCGGGCGGCTGGGGCCTCCAGGATCCCAAGACCGTGTGGTGACGGACTGCACGGTGAGGTCGTTGGGGATCCCGAGGTGACCACTCGCTCCGTGGCCACACGGTTTCGTCGCCTCTCCTTTCCTTTCCCTCGCCCCCTCCTGGGTGCCGTCGGGCGGGGTGTAGCTGCCGCCGCGGTCCACTTGTACGCCCCCTTGGGGAGAAATGCTGCCACGCGCGAAGCGAATGCCAAGGCGAACGGCCCATGATGAGGCTAGAGGTGCCTCCTTGCATCTCGAGCCGGCTCCGACGCCCACTCGTGACCACCCCCGTCCCGCCCTCAGGGATTTCGCGGCCCCTTGCGATGGTGGGGTGGGGAGGCGAGCCGCTTCCCTGGGTGCTGCCAAGCCTGCAGCTGCTGCGGCTTCTCTGCGCCCCTGGGGGGGGGGTGCACACCGGCACGCTGGCCCACGCGGATGTGCCCGCGGTGCCGCTTCGGGCGTCTTGGGCGCCGGCTAGCGCCACAACCAGCCCGACGCCATCGAGCTGCCGCCATCAAGCGCCGCCATCGAGCGCCGCAACCGGCCCGTTGATGCTCAGGGAGCTGGCCTGGCTGGCGCCCGCTGCCGGGGTCGCGGGCTCGCCCTCGGGGGCACTGCTGGCCGGGCCGTGCTCTCCCTCTCAAGCCGTGGCGCCGTGGGGCGGCCCTGGAGCAGGCCCGGCCATGGACCCCACGGTGCGGGCGGGCCGTTGCCCGGTGGCCTTGCAAGCCGCTCGGCCGCCTCGGCCGCCTCGGCCTCCCGCACTGGCCCAAACCCACCTTCCGCGGCGCGCACGTCGTCGTCGTCGTCGTCGTCGTCGTCGTCGTCGTCGTCGTCGTCGTCGTCGTCGTCGTCGTCGTCTTCGTCGTCGTCGTCGTCGTCGTCGTCGTCGTCGCCGTGATCTCCATCGGCATCGTCGTCGTCGTCGTCATTGTCGTCGCCGTGATCGCCATCGCCATCGGCGTCGTCGTCGTTGCCGTCTTTGTTCTCGTCTTCGTCGTCGCCATCGCGCTCGGCGTCGTCATCGTCACCCTCGCCGTCGTCGTTGTCGTCTGCGCTGAGGTCCAACACCACCTTCCGCGGCGTGCATGTCATCCGTGACCCGCTCGCCCTGGTCGTGTCCGGGTACCTCTACCACATGCACAGCAACGACCATTTGCCGGACCCCGCGCGGGGGGAAGGCTCGGTGGAGGGCCAGCTGAGCGACGCAGGAAAACGGGGTCGACTGTGCCGACATCCGCGCGTTCGCTGCATAAGATGGCGCGCAAGCGCACTCGTCTCCCATGCGGTTTGCTGCGCTGGCGGTCCGCGCAAAAACCACCGTGTGAGGGCGCTAATTACGCCATCTCGCGTGAGACCCGTTTCCTTTCGTCGCCCCGTGGAGGTACAGTGCCGTTTTTAATGCATGCTCCGCGTGCGGATCATGTCTTAAGAATGCAGGGATTCAGTATTAAAAACAACGAGGGGTTCATGCATACATTTATTCATAAACTACTAAACATGTATTGCAAATCATTGTTAAACAAATCCAATGTATTAAAACCTGCCCTGTAACGGCGGTCTTCTCGCGCCAGGCCCATAGCCTTTCAGAGCCGCCCCTCCGACCACCCGCCTCCAGGCCTCAGTAGATGGGTTCGGAGTACACATGGTTCATCTCTAAGTACTCGAAGGTTCTTTGATTTGCGGGGGGCCAAGATCCTTTCATTTCCAATTCTTCTATCCTGGGCCTCTTCTTGGCCACTAGGGGGCCAGGAACAATCAGAAACGAGCACAATTAGAAATGAGCACGATTAGTAATGAACAATGTGTAGATGGGGTCAGAGGATCGCGCCGCACAGATGGCCGAGGTGGCGCGATCCACCCACCGACCCCATAGGTTCGATGTGGAGCCAGAGGTTCTCCACGCCGATGGCGCCGATGCATCGCCGACGTCGCCGATGCATCGCCGAATCGGCGATGAGGGGCCATTCTCCAACCTTCTCTACTTAGATCCCATCTTCGGTGGCACCTCATGGGAGCCTCCCATACAATCTTGTTGTTTCTTGCGAATCGAAGCTGGACGACGCTTTTCGACGCCAGTCGACCCTACATCGATGCTAATCGACGCTGCATCGGCGCTGTTGCACCGATCACCAGACGCTGGTGCGCGCTGATCCGTTCTAAAGATGGAGTGACGAGGACACACGGCTCCCATGACTTGCTACCGAACCCATCTGGGCGGCCTGGCGCCGTACGCTGATCATGGACTGGCCGCCCCGGCACTCCTCTGGGCCTACCACGACATGTCTATAGAACAAAAGAGCGGAACTAACCAAGATATTGCTCTTCCAACATAACTCCGCCGTATTAAACAAGACGGAACAGGTTCTTAGAGCATTCTTCGGTGGGCCTACCAGAAAGCTGGAAACGCTTGCGGCTGGATTCACACGTGCAACATGTGGAGGCCGCTTGCTGGATACACGCGTGGTGGATCACCGTGCCTGGCCACGCGGGGGCCAAGGGGGCTGGAACGACACGGCGTGTGTCTCCACCTCCCGCCCAGGCCGGCCACGTCGGGTGCATGCAGCTTCCTGGCATGGGGCCAGTCTGGGCGCCTCGCCACTGCTTGAGTCTTGCCCTGGCGGCCCCCCGACAGCCCCCCACGAAGCGGCCAGCCGCCCCCCCCCCCCCCCCTCGGGGGCCTTGAGACGGGGGTCAATGCAAACGGGGGTCAGTCAGAGAGCCGGATCTTGCAGGACCCTGCAGTGCCAGGGTCGCATCGACCCCAGGCTTGGGTGCAGGATCCTGCAGGATCCTACAGGGCCCGGCTGACCCGGGCTTGGATTGGCCCGGGTCGGTGGATCTCCGGCCCCCCCCCCCCCCCTCGGGGTGCTGCCCACGATGTCGTGGGCGGAGAGGTCGCAGCGCAGCTGCCCGGGCGCGGGCGGGGCCGCCGCCTGGGAGGCGGCTCCGCGCCGCACGGGCAGCGGTGGTGGAGGCTTCCCGGGGCGGGGGTGCGTGCAGATGGCGTCGGAGGAGCGCGTCATTAAAGTGCACTCGCGTGCGCTAGCGTGCAGTCGGGCATGTCTCTCTACAGGAGAAACTTCACACTCTCTCTACAGGAGAAACTTCACACATAGTCAAGCATGGTATGGGGGCGTTTGTTACCTAACAGCGAAGACTGATAGGTTTCTAGTGGTGTCAAAAGAGAGCATCTGATGACTCAGAAGGGAGGTCTGGGCAGCATCCGGACAGCGAGGGCCGGGCTCAGGGCCGGGCTCGTTTTAAGCAAACAGTCACACACTTCGTGCTCTTCGACCTCCCAGAACTCCATTCCCGGGCCACATTTTGAATGCCCGGAGCCAACTGTAGGCCACTTCGTGCTCTACGACTTCCCAGAACTCCATTCCCGGGCCACATTTTGGATGCCCGGAGCCAACTGTAGGCCACTTCGTGCTCTTCGACTTCCCAGAACTCCATTCCCGGGCCACATTTTGAATGCCCGGAGCCAACTGTAGGCCACTTCGTGCTCTTCGACTTCCCAGAACTCCATTCCCGGGCCACATTTTGAATGCCCGGAGCCAACTGTAGGCCACTTCGTGCTCTTCGACCTCCCAGAACTCCGTTCCCGGGCAACATTTTTGAATGCCCGGAGCCAACTCCCAGAACTCCATTCCCGGGCTACATGTTGGATGCCCGGAGCTAACTGTAGGCCACTTCGTGGTCTTCGAGTTCCCAGAACTTCATTCCCGGGCCACATTTTGAATGCTGAGGCAGGCTGATGCTGAGGCTGAGGCAGGCTGAGGATGAGGCAGGCTGAGGCTGAGGCCGAGGCTGAAGGCAGACTGAGGCTGAGGCTGAAGCAGACTGAGGCTGAGGCTGAGGCAGGCTGAGTCTGAGGCTGAAGCAGGCTGATGCTGAGGCAGGCTGAGGCTGAGGCTGAGGCTGATGCAGGCTGAGGCTGAGGCAGGCTGAGGCTGAGGCCGAGGCTGAAGGCAGACTGAGGCTGAGGGTGAAGCAGGCTGAGGCTGAGGCTGAGGCAGGCTGAGGCTGAGGCAGGCTGAGGCTGAGGCTGAGGCAGGCTGAGGCTGAGGCTGTGGCTGCGACTGCCGTTGCCACTGCGACTGTCATCGCGAATGCGACTACGACTGCGAGAACAGCAGAATTCTACAACTGGATTCTCATCTGAATCTGAAGGGGAATGCTTCCAGATATGCTCCTACACATCGCTGTTAGGTTGCTTTGCCGTGATATTTTTTTCTAGTATGGTTGACTATGTTTGCGCTTGTTTGACACATACTTTTCTGTGGTGAAGGATTTGTTATGTCCAACATCCGCCTGTAGGAGGACATGCCCGACCTAACGCTAGCGCCTGGTGATCGCGTTGAGACAGCACCGATGCAGCGTCGATGAGTATCGACTCAGGGCCGGTTAGCATCGAACAGCGTCGGCCAGCGTTGCGTAGCGTCGATGCGCAAGAGCCAGCACGATGGTGTGTGGAGCTCCCGTGGGCCCATGGGCTGCCACCGACGACGGGGTCCGAGCCGTCGGAGTCGGGAGTTCTGGTTTGGCGCGTTGTGCCGCCTGCTCCGGCCCGCCGCGGTGCGGCGCCACGCGCGAAGCGCTTATTTCTTTTTTTTTTTTTTTTTCGATTATTTTTTTTTTTTTTTGTATTTTCCGGGCCTCGAGCGAGCGCCCCCGCGAGCCCTTCCACGCCCGCCCGCCCTGCGACGCGGGCGACGCGATGGCACCCCCCAGGGCATCCGTTATGTCGCCGGAGCCGCCGCCCGCGACTTCTATTTACTTTTTTTTTCTTCTATTTCATAATTATTGTTCTTTTTTTTTTATTCTTTTTTAATATTTTTATCCTGTTTTTTTTCCTTTTTTCCGGCATGGTGTTTTTCGCCAAGGCACGTTCCGACGTGCGGGCTCCCGGCCCGCGGCTTCTCTCTTCTCGGCGGAGGAGGGGGAGGAGAGAGGAGAGGGGGGAGGAGGAGGGGGGGAGGGAGGAGGAGAGGAGGAGGAGGAGGAGGAGGAGGAGGAGGAGGAGGAGGAGGATGGCGGGGAGGAGGAGGGAGGAGGAGGAGGAGGAGGTGGAGGAGGAGGAGGGGAGGAGGAGGAGGAGGAGTAGGAGGAGGAGTGAGGAGGAGGAGGAGGAGGGAGGAGGAGGAGGAGGCGGAGGAGGAGGAGGAGGAGTGGAGGAGGAGGAGGAGGAGGAGGAGGAGGCGGAGGAGGAGGAGGAGGAGGAGGCGAGGAGGAGGAGGAGGAGGAGGAGGAGGAGGAGAGGGGAAGGAGGGAGGAGGAGGAGGAGGTAGAGGAGGAGGAGGAGGAGGAGGAGGAGGAAAAGGAGGAGGAGGAGGAGGAGGATGAGGAAAAAGGAGGAGGAGGAGGAGGAGGACGGAGGAGGCGGAGGAGGAGGAGGAGGAGGAGGGGGAGGAGAGGGACAAGAAAACGAGGGAGGAGGAGGAGGAGGAGGAGGAGGAGGTGGAATAGAAGGAGAAGGAGGGGAGGAGCCGCTGGATGGCGAAGCGGCTCGATATGGAGCCCGATGCTCAACACGCCGACGTCGCGGATGTATCGCTGACGTTGCGGATGCATTTGCGACGCGGCGCGACCCACCTACTCTTTCTGCTTCCGTCTTGCTTGAGCCACCTCCTTCCAGAAAGGGCCTCGCCTCCGAGGGATCGGGGAGTTGGCGGCCCTTTCCCGGCGGAAGGGCGACGGGAGCTGGCGGAATCGGAACAGAAAGAACAACATAAACATAAACTTTTGGCGCTCCGCGCGGATTTCTTGGATCCGCGCTGGGGCCCCCCGGTGGCGCCTCGGGCGCCGCCCCTGGCGCGCTCCGCGCGCCAGGGAGGGAGGTCCAGCGCAGATCCAAGAAATCCGCGCGGCGCGGAGTGCCAAACGGTTCTGTTTGTGTCGTTGTTCTTCTCCTGCGGAATTTAAATGAGGGCGCCTCCGCTAGCGGAAGCTCGGCGGGACCTCGGCGGAAGCGAGACCCCCACCCTCCCCGAAAGAGAGATGTCCGCGTTCCAGGGTTTCCCCTTAAGTCGGGCCTGTCCTCCTACAGGGAGATTTTCGACGAAAAATACAAAATACCCCCAAAGTTGTCAAAAAATAGTCCAAACATAGTCTGGGGGCTATTTTTTGCATATTTTTTGACCTGTTTGGTGCATTTTGGGGTTATTTTTTATTTTTCGTCGAAAATCCCTCTGTAGGGGGGCACGCCCGACATAACCCTGGGCGGAAGCGTGGAGCTCACCAGAAACGTGGACGCACCCTGGCGCACAAAGTGGGGGCGGTCACGCAGATCCTCAGAAGAGGCAAAGGTGCCCCGCTACTCCTCGCCCAACTTCCCTTTGTCGGCCTCCTGGGAGGCCCTCGTCGCCATCGCTGGATTCGCCTCGAAGTCCTGGTCAGAACGCACCCCTGGAGAGGTCCGGGGAGTAGCGGTATCGGTACCTTTCGGTGCCCCCGGATCCAGGCAGGTCTTCGCTGACTGCTGCTGGGCGCGCAACCGTCGCCACTTTCCTGCGTCCCTGCGGGGGCGGTCCGACAGAGAGCGGCGCTGCGCATCCCTCGGCTGGGTGCTTCCAGACGAACTGTTCGTCTGGAAGGCCTGCTGTGCCTGCGGATGGGGCCAGCGCGCGATGGCAACCGGCAGAATTTCAAAGCGAATTCGCGCCCCCTGGTGCTACCAAACGTGTCGGATGGGTTGGGTGCAGCCAGGATGCCGAAATAAGGATCACTGCGGCTTCATGAGAGGCTCTGGTTTTCGGGCAGCTCCTTAGATTCAGGTCGGGCAGCCCGAGGTTCGCCGTGGCCAGACACGCGTTTTCTTCCAGAATTCATTCTGGCAGCTCGATGGCCATACGCCCTTCGGTATTTGTTGCTGTCTCCCAGGACCCCGCAATACGGCACATGTCGCTCGAGCTCGGCATCGCCTTCGAAGCGGAGTACGTCCTGAACGTCACCCTCAAGGACCGATAACGAGCCGGGCGGCTCCGGAGGGAGAGGAGGGACATCGCAAGTGTGGTTTAGCCCCCAGCGCAAAGTTTCCCCGAGAGATCAGGTGGGGAACTTGGAGGTACACCTCCATGGGGTATTTGGATGTATACCCCTATCGAGGATGGGTGCCCCGCCCATGTTATATCTCCAGCTTGGCCTCAGATAGTTGGTCCAGTCGAGTGGGGTCGACATACCCCCTGTCAGGAGAGGAGAGCAAGGCGGGAGTGAAGGGGCACGAGGGTGGAGGCCTTCACGGGGGCAGCGGGGGGCTCGGTGTGGGCAAGGCGCCGGCGCGGCAGACGAAGTCTGAGCCTCCTGTTCGACGGAGCGACATGCTGGCACGATGTTCGCCTGCCGCTCGCACGCTGCTGGGCTGCTGCCCTGAACGAGCCTGCGCCCTGCTGGGGCGGAGGTCCCCCCCATGGTGGGTATGGTCCCTCGTGGTCCGAGGAGGGCGAGCCGAGACGACGGCGGTAGGCCTTCGGGGGGGTCCCCAGTCGCCATTATTGGACGCAGGGTGGACAAATGGTGCGTTTGGGCACTCCTCCTCCTCCTCCTCCTCCTCCTCCTCCTCCTCCTCCTCCTCCTCACTGGGAGGGGTCCTGGAGCCGATCTGAAGCTGCCTTGGTCTCAACGGGTCCTCCTCCGTCTGAGGGGTCGGGGCGGCCCGCTTTGGTGAAGGCATGGGCCGCCCAGCACTCTGGCTTCCAGAGGTGCGGCTTTACTGCCCTCGTCCAGCTGGGAGCCAGCTGCGGTAGTCGTTCGTGAGCTCTCGTGGCGCTTCAGCTTGAGTTGGTCGCAGTGCAGGGCTCCACCGGCAATGGCGGATAACACTTGCGCCTCCCTCCCGCTCTTGTTCCCTCCCCCTCAGCAGCTGGGAGGGATTGCCCCGAGACGGGAGGGTTGGGCAGTCGGGGGGTGCATGCGCTGCGGGTGGAGCGCCTTCCGTGCACGGAGGCCTTGTTTTCGGCTGGGGAGCTCAAGCCATCTGCCCAGGAGCCCTTCAAGCCATAGACTGGCGCAGGGGCCACTGGCCAACAAGGCTTGGGGGTCCGAATATGTGCAGACGGACTCCGCGCAAGCGGTCGGGTGCATCGTCGCGGTGTAAGACGCGAGCGCTGCCACGTACGACAATGAGAGCATGGTGATGATATCAGGCCAGGACGAAGTGTAGCATATGGAAAATGGGGTCCGAGAAACTTTGACGTGCGACTTTACACCCCCTTGAAAAAGACACGCAAATGCTGCAGGTCGTGTCGAAGAATCGTCCAGAGCATTTCCCTGGGCGCACTGGATTGGAATGGCCGCAGGAGACCAAAAACAACAAGAGACCGAAGGCAACGAGAACACACGCACAAACAACTCGACGAGCAAAGTTGCATGACTTTTGCAGGACAGTGTAGTCCCTTGAGATCCGATGTCTCGAGGAAATTGGAGCATCATGAGAAATCGTAACCGGAGCCCCGGAGCCCATCTTTCTTCGCCATTTTTTTGGCTGGATCGATCCTTGAGGGCCCCGCGGTCCGAAACGGGACGAAAACGACTGGCTCGGAAAAGATTGAGTCGCCAGGATCCTATCCGGTGGCGAGCGAGCTCTCCCATCCTCCTCCTTCTCATTCCTTTTTCCCATCTCTTGCTCCTCCTCTCTCCTCCGACTCATCCTCTCATCTACTCCTCCCATCCTCCTCCTTCTTCCTCCTCTACGCCTCCTCCTCCTCCTCCCCCGACGTGGTGGCGCCGTGGTTCCTCCCGTGCGGGGCCCTGGAGAGAGCCCCCCCCCCCCTCCCCTCCCCCCCCCCCCAGGGGGCCGGAGGCTCTCCGCCCCAGAGGGCCTGCGGGGGTCTCCCGCCGCGGCCCCGCGGGGTACCCGGGCCGCGGGGCGAGGCTCTCGGGGGTCGAGGGCCGAGGTGTGCAATGGGAGCGTCGTGTGGACGCCGGATGGGGGCCTCCGGGAGCCCTCCGGGGGCCTCCGGAGACCTTCTGCAGGTGCTGCGGGGCTGCGCGGGGGCGTCCTGCAGCACAGCACGAGGGGGCGGCGAGTTCCGAGGGCTCGGAGCTCCCCTGGCCTCCTGCAGCCGTCCTGAGGACGAAGTGGGAGGGGAGCACAGCGGAAGGAGGAGGGGAGGAGGCGGAGGAAGGAAGCACGAGATGAGCACATCCTGGAGACAGGGGCAGACCTTGCGAGGGAGATGGGGGACGGTCCGCTGAGTATTTTCACACCGCCGCTGCGATTCCCGAGGAGATGGTCGCTGCGTACGAACGCTCCCAGTCGGAGAACGGAACCAGCTACGACGATGTGCTGAATGTCCGGCTGGAGGATCTCATGAGGTTCGTGGGGCGCCTCAAGTGGAGGAGGAAAAGGGCGTCAGGATGGGGGAAGTGACCCGGATTCTCGAAGCAAGTGGCGTGAGTGTCTCAGCAGACCAGCCACAGACCAGCCACAACCTGGGGGTGCCGTGTTCCTTCCCCTCCGGGGGGGCCCACCAGACTCGGCACCTCGCTATGCCAATTGTTTATTGACGAATCTAATACTGACTACTACTGACTACTACTTACTACTACTACACTACTATCTACCACGACTACTGACTACTAACCTACTAATGCTCTTCACTCTACTCCTACTCACTACTACTATAATACATTATACTACTATACTACTACTACTACTACTATACATGCCTACTAGACTACTACTACTACTACTACTACTACTATACTACGACTATACTACTACTATACTATACTATACTATACTACTACTACTACTACTACTACTACTACTACTACTACTACTACTACTACTACTACTACTACTACTACTTATACTACTACTACTACTACTACTACTACTACTACTACTACTACTACTACTACTACTACTACTACTACTACTACTACTACTACTACTACTACTACTACTACTACTACGACTACGACTACGACTACGACGACTACTACTACTACTACTACTACTACTATACTACTACTATACTACTACTGCTACTTACTCGAATACGACTAATATAATGATAATAATACTATACATTACTACTAACTACTACTATACTACTATACTACTGCTACTTACTATACTACTACGACATATACTTAATCTATACTACTACTTACTACTACTACTACTACGCTGCTACTGCTACTACTACTACTACTACTACTACTACTACTACTACTACTACTACTACTACTACTACTACTACTACTACTGCTGCTGCTGTTATTACTACTACTACTACTACTACTACTACTACTATTAACTACTACTACTACTACTACTACTACTACTACTACTACTACTACTACTACTACTACTACTACTACTACTACTACTACTACTACTACTACTAGTACTACTCCTGTCGGTGCGACGTCTTCGCCCAGAGGGGCACGGAGCACACAACTCCCCCCGCCTCCCCCAGCCCGAGTCGGCCTGCGGCGTGCGGCGGGCCCGCGCCACGTGGATGCGGCGGCGACCCCGGCGCGGGCGTGCAAGCTTAAAACGCCGCCAGCGCTGTGGGGAAGCGTCGATCGTTCGAGGTCGAGCGATCCACGCGGCGTCAGAGGCTTCGGTCTCAAATCATGGGAGTCTGGTAGACCCTCTTAATTCCAGCTTTAGCGTCGACTAGCGCCGATCAGCGCCGATTCGCGTCTGGGAGTCGAGGAGATAGCGCCGATGTAGAGTCGGCTAGCGTCGAATAGCGTCGATTCAGCGTCGATGTAGCGTTGACTAGCGTCGATTCGCAGGAGCCGACAGGATGGTATGGTGGGCTCCCATGAGCTGCCACCGAGAGATCTCACCGCCGAAGCCGCCACACGAGCCTGCCAAAGGGGAACGTCTGATGCACACGTGGCTGCACGCCTTCCCTGCGCCGGGCCCTCGTCCCTCGTCTCCCGCCGCGCGCCAATCCATCGCGTGGCCTTCCCGCGTTTCCGCGAGGGAGTCCCCGCGCGCTCCCCGCGGCGCCGCCGCGTGAGAGCGCCCCCTCCCCGCCCTCCCCCTCCGCGGCCGCCCTCTTCGGGCCCTCCCCCCCTCCTGCATGCGGGGCAGTTCGCAGTGCCGTAGCCCTGGTTGCTCGACGCGCGAGCGGATCGCCTCTGCCGCGCCGCGGCGGGAAAGGTTTGTGTCCGTGCGTGCTTTCGGCCTCTGGGAGCTACAGGCTGCACGCTGACGTGAGGGCCATGCTGTGGGTTCAAAGGGGGGCACGTGTTTTCGGGCCGCTCCTCAGATTCAGGTCGTCCACCGGGGGCTACAGTCTACACGCTGGCATAAGGACCACTTTGGGTTCAGCGAGGGCTCTTGTTTTCGGGCCGCTCCTCAGACTCGGGTCGTGCAGTCGCTTCGTGGCCGAGGCTCGCCGCGGCCAGAGAAGACCCTTCGTTCAGCATCCCTCCAACGCTTTCACGATGGATGTAAGTCCCTCTCGCTGGTCAGCCCATAGCTCATCCTGGCCATCGTACCGCTGCAACGATGTGATATAATCATCGAGCTGACACAGGAAGGGCGTCAGCAGGGCAAACGCTGCCATAACCATAGCACCGTTGCCTCAAGCAGTTGCCGGCGCGCACTGGGGGGTACGGGGAGGGGGGAAGGCTTCTCAGAAGCACCCCTGCCTCTCAGGAGGCGCGGGCCCTGTGGCCGGCGCCTGCCCATCAGCAGCCTCCTTCTAAGGAGCCCTTCCCCCTTCCCCCTGCCGTTCCTGTCTGCGCCGCCAACGCAGGGCGCAGGTACGACCAGGGACGCAGAATACGGCCCTCTGGCCTGTGGGGTCTGGCTGGGCGGCCTTTGCCAGGTGCCGTTCTTCGCCAGCGATCGGTGCGTGGGTCTTACTGGCCAGGCCGGCAGGGCGTCTACACCGAGCCTTTGCTAGGCCCAGGACGGTCGGAGGAGGAGGAGGAGGAGGAGGAGGAGGAAGAGGGGGGGGGGGGGCTGGGGTCCGTTGTGCATCCATAGTCCCAGGCCGACCGACCGCCCGCCTGGGCTCGCGAGCGGTCTGTGAGCCTCCCTGGCGAGGGCGGCAGAGCGTCTACACCGGTCCTTACTCATTGTTCGGTTCTAATTCTCCGAGTTCTTTGATTTGTTTGGGGGTCAAGATCCTTTCATTTCTAATTGTTCTATCCTGGGCCTCTTCCTGGCCACTAGGGGGCCAGGAACAATTAGAAACGAGCACACTTAGAAATGAGCACGATTAGACATGAACGACGTGTACGCCAAGGGTGATCCTGGCCGGGGTCTGGTGTGCATCTGCAGCCCTGGGACGTCGGTTTTTCTTCAATCCCTGGACCCCCGACGTCCTGTTTTTCAATGCCTCTTGCCACAGCGTCGTGTGTTTTTCTTTCGATGTGTCTTGCCCAGACCCCTGGCGTTTTTGTCTTCCACGTTTCTTTCCCCCAGGGGTCTGGACCTTCTCCCCTGGACCAGTTCCTCATCTGTCGCTCGTTGCCGGCCCACCTGGCCTGGTGAGGGCCGCTGGGTGCCGAAAACGGCCGGGGGCCGAAAAAGCCGCCCGTCGTTTTTTCGTTTGGTTCGACAGCGCGCGAGGGGAGGCCTTTGGGTCGGCGTCCTCCACGCTGGGCCCGTGGAGCATCGAGCCGGTGCAGAGCGGGTCCACCGGAGGGGGTCCGAGAGCCAGCGCCCCCCCCCTCCCCGCAAGGTCTTCGGAGGACTACGACCGCACGGCCGAGGCCATCTGGAACCACACGCTCGGCGACATGTCGACCCCTCGGGAGGAGGAGGGGGGGCAGAAGGAGGTGGAGAAGGAGGAGGAGGAGAAGGAGGAATGGAAGGAGGGAAAGGGAGGAGGAGGAGGAGGAGGAGGAGGAGGAGGAGGAGGAGGAGGAGGAGGAGGACCAGTGCAAACCCAATATTTCGCATCAGCGGTGTTGCAACAAACCTCCCTCCACTTCCCTTCTTCAGAGGTCCCTGCAAGGATGCTTCTCACTGCTGGAAGGGCTCCGTTGGTGGACAAACGTCTGAGAAGCCAAATTTTGAAACGGAGCCGTTTCCCATGTGAAACCTTGGCAAGTGTTTTAGAGGAGTGTGCGCTGAGTTGAGCCAGCAGCAACATTTTGAACACCACCCGCCCTGTATCCGTGAAACTCTAGCACACTTTAAAGACGGCAGCGCGCGGCGCTGAAACGAGAACCACAGTTTGAAACGGAGCCTCCCCCAGCTGTTAATCTCTTGCCAGTTTTTAAGACTAGTGTGCGCGGCGTTATGGCGAGAGCCACGTTATGAAAACTATCCGCTCTTTCCTAGTCAACCACTTGCGAACTTTGAAGACGAATGTGCGCGGCGCTCACGCGAGAGCCACATTGTGAAAGCCACCCGCTCTCCATCAGCACGACTGTTGCAAACTTTGAAGCCGAACGTGCGCGGCGCTAAGGCGAAGCCACAGTTTGAAACGTGCCGCCCTCCATCCTTGAACCTGTTTCAGAACTGTCAGCTTCAGGATCAGAAGTGGTGAGGAAGCTCCAGGCGAAACGACCGACCAGCCCGACCGACATGTTTCGGGGCGCCACGGGGAGGAGCTACTTAAGGAACAGGGATGGAGGAGGAGGAGGAGGAGGAGGAGGAGGAGGAGGGAGGACGAGGAGGAGGAGGAGGACGAGGGAGGACCAGGAAGGGGAGGAGGAGGAGTCTGTCCTGGAGGCCCCTCGATGGCAGTATATAGGCTTGGACCTCGCGCCCGGGAGCCCCGGGCGGAGCCCAGCCCTGGCCCTGCCGGCGGCCTCCGCGGCCCCCCTGCGCTGCAGCGGCACCGCCCGAGCCCCCCGTGGGCCCTGCCATCGCGACGGGGCCGCGGCGTCGTGTCGCCGCCCCGCCTCGGAGCCAGCCGTGGGTCTGAGGCGGCCCGGCAGTGAAACTATTTCCGTTTTCGAAATTTTCATAGACGGTATTGATTTTCTGTTCGATTGTGGACAAGATACGAAACTGGGAAGCAACATTTAAATAAAATGATACGTGGCAATACTATGGAGAGTCGAAATATTTGAGATTGATCTGTCATCTTGTTTTCTTATTATGAAACAAATTACTAAGCTGGCATGCTTTGCGCCCCGGCCAGCAGGAGGAGGAGGAGCAGCAGCAGGACGAGGGGCCAGTGTAAACCCAAGACTCACCAACGATCTTGCCATAAACCCGCCCCCCAAGTTCCCGCTTCATGTGCCCCTAATTAGAAGGTGTCTCGTTCACTGAGGGAAGTTCCCCGTTGGAAGACAACCGTTTGAAAAACCTGAACTGTGCCTGAACACCATTCCTGTGACTTCAGCGTCGCGAGTGATCGTTACTGTTGCATCCTGACGAGTCTTACTTGTGCCGGAACACAATCTCTGGGATATCTACACCACGAATCATTGTGACAGTTTTGCCCTGACAGTCCGACATCGTGTCAACACACGATTTCTGGATATTAACTATGCGAACCCTTCAAGCTGTCGTACATGCTTTAAACGAAGGTGTGCGGCGATAAGGCGATAGCCACATTCAGAAAACACCCCACCTTCCATCCGTCAAACTGCTGCAAAGCTCAATCTTCAGGCGAAATGCCTGGCCCTTCCTTTCGACTGGACTCTGGATGCGACACGGAGGTGTTATCCAGAAGGAAAGGATCTAGGGTGGACAGAACCCCCACGCTGACACGTCGATTAGTGAATTGTCTGTTTTCGGTTCTCGAGAGGGCGCAGCGGCCGACATTTTTCAGGCTTGCGCCCGCCAGGTTTGGGCCCGAGGTCGTTATCACTGTGCCAAGTTTTGTGAAAAAGGGGTTTTGTCCATTTTCGAAAGGAGTGAATGGAACTGATGTTCTGATTGCTCTGTTGCTGTTGGGCTCCCTGGTTCGGTTGCAGATCTTCGGCGCCTTGTATGCCCCCACAATTCCGTCAGTTAGCGTCGATTTGCGCTTGGGGATCGATGATATAGCGTCGATCAGCGTCTACTAGCGTCGATTCGCGTTGGTTTAGCGTCGACCAGTGTCGAGTAGCGCCGCTTCGCGAGAGACAAGAAGATGGTATAGGAGGCTCCCACGAGTTGCCACCGAATCTTGGGCGCTCCCGTCGCGGCGGCTGGATCCTCGTCGAGATCTTGGGCGGGACACGTTTTGTGACGGGTCTGGGGGCCGGCCCGGAGAGGATGGTTCAGGATGGGAGAAACACAGACACAATTCGTCGTCGATTCTCCAGAGAATATGGGAAAATATGGGAAGTGGGCGGGCTTGACGAAAACGCAGAAAATATGTCAAAATATAGCGGAATCTTGGGATTTGCTTATATTTCTTTGTGTGTCTTTGGGCCCCCTGGCCTGCGTCGTCCCAGTTCTTGGTCGTCATGCTTTTGTTCACTTCGGGGCCCCCGCTGGCCCCGACCCTCTGTTTCCTCAGGCGGATCACGCAGCTACAGTCTTCGCCCCCCAGGGCCCCCTCGCTCGAGCCAGCATGCACCTGGCGCCACCGGCGGTGTCCGCTCCCCGGGCCGGCTCAGCCCAGGCCGGCCTTCGGCGGCCCCGGGCCCAGCTTTGCAACGCCTCCTACTCCAGATTTCGTAATAAAGGGAGGGGGGTCTCATTTCGGGGGGGGTCTCTTCCAGGCTATCTTGGAGGGCCTGGGGGGGTCTGGGGACGATGTTTTGGAGGGTTCTCCCACGAGGGGGGGTCTGAAATGGCTTGTCTTGGAGGGTCCAGACCCCCTTCCTTTTATTACGAGATCTGGAGTAAGCTGTTCCAGGACCAGTCCGCGTCACCTCGTGCCCGCTTTGCCTCCTTCGCCTCGCCGCCCGGCGCAGTTTTTTTTCACCCACTCGGGAGGCACACGCGTGAGGCCCCTTCTCCAGGGACGGCTCGGATCCCGAGCTCCGGGGCTCCGCGCGGGTGAGGCCACGGCGTCGAGGGCCCGCGCTTCCAGGGAGGTCTGCCCAAAACGCTGGGAGGCCTCCAGAAGCCCAGCGCAAGATGTCGGGAGGCCTCATCGGGGGCTTGCAAGCCCGCCTTCAGAGGCCCCCCAAAACGCTGGGAGCCGTCCGGAAGCCCAACGCAAGATTTCTGGAGACCTCCGGGGGCGTGCAAAGACCTCTACAGGATCTGAGGCCGTGGGGCAGGTCCCCGGAGGTCTTGGGTCGGGCGGCCGCTCGAGGCTCCCGCGGAGGTCTTAGAAGAATAGCAGACGTGCGCACACACGCACACACACAAACACACACACACAGACAGACAGACAGACAGACAGACAGACAGACAGACAGACAGACAGACAGACAGCCAGCCAGCCAGCCAGCCAGCCAGCCAGCCAGCCAGCCAGCCAGCCAGCCAGCCAGCCAGCCAGCCAGCCAGCCAGCCAGCCAGCCAGCCAGCCAGCCAGCCAGACACACACACACACACACACACACACACACACACACACACACACACGCACACACGCGCACACACGCACACACGCACACACGCACACACGCACACACGCACACACGCGCACAGGCACACAGGCACGCAGGCACGCACGCACGCACGCACGCACGCACGCACGGCACGGCACGGCACGGCACGGCACGGCACCGCACGGCACCGCACGGCACCGCACCGCACCGCACCGCACCGCACCGCACCGCACCGCACCGCACGCACCGCACGCGCCGCACGCACCGCACGCACCGCACGCACCGCACGCACCGCACGCACCGCACGCACCGCACGCACCGCACGCACGCACACACACACACACATACACACACATACACACAACACACACACACACAGACAGACAGACAGACAGACAGACAGACAGATACACACACACACACCTAGAACCTATCTCATCGAACCTCAAGCCTCGAACCTAGGTGGGGCGTTCCAAAGAGGGCCTTGCATTCGAGGGTAGAAAGAGGTTTCATCTTCCTCGGCGGAAGGCGGCGGAGCGGCGCGGGAAGGTCGGTTAAGTAAAACGAGGCCGCCTCCGCAGGCGGAAGGTTTGCGGCAGGCGGCGGAAGTCAAATATGTCCCCCCAAGAGATGAATACGTTTTTGGGGTTCAGGGCTTCCGAATCCGCTATATCCCAGACGTACACGCTCCGGAGCACGTGCCGTGCGCTCGCACGGCGCGTACACAGCATCCCGCCCTGTCCTGCCAGGCCTGGATGTATGCCGGCAATCAGGGTCTGTTGATCGCGCGATCGCATCGCGGTGGTCAGCCAGTGATCTGCCCGTTGCCCTGGGGACGCTCGTTGTGGTCGGCTGCGCGATCGTGGGCGTTACTTGATCGCGCGACCAAGTGGCGTGATCTCATCGGACGGACACAGGTCGACCCCATACTTGATGAAGCGCTTGCGGAATGCGAGCATCAAGGGCGATTTGAGGAGGAACCCCATGGCGGAGAGGGGGTCGGAGAAAGTCGAGGGTGATTTCCTGTTCGGGCACGTCGCGGATGCGGAAATGAAGCAGAAGGCGATGCAGGCTCGCGCCAACGGAGCCCTCCACTTCCTCCTCGTCTGCTTCCTTCTTCTTCTCCTCGGGCTCCTCCGCATCCTCGGCGTCTTCGGCCTCCTCCCCTCCTCTTCCTCGTGTTCCTCCCCTGGGCTCCGCCCCTGGATCGTCCCTCCTCGGCCAGGCCCCCGGGGCTCCGCCCCCGGACCGACCTGGATCTCCGACGTCTTCTTGGTCTTGGTCCCGCCTCGAGGACCCCCCGAGGGCCTGGACCTCTGGGACCCCCGCGCGTGGACTGGGGCCGCATGGCGCGACAGGGGCTCCTGGGAGGCCGAGGAGAAGCAACAAACGCCTGGCGTGTTTTCCACCACCCGGCCCGTTGCGGCGGTTGCGGTCGCGAGCGGTTTCGCCATGGGGGGATAAAGGGTCCCGAGGGAAGCGGGCCCCGAGGTTTTTCGCCGTGTTCGGGCCCTCGGGGCCCTCCGCGGGCCCCAGGGCTGTCGGCCAGCGGCGCAGGGGGGCGGCTCCAGGGTCCAGGGCACGCTTCCCCTCAGCACCCGCCTCCCCCCGTGCTACTCTTCCGGATCGCGCCGTCGCGCCGCCGGGGCTGCCCCGCCGTGCTTCGGCGCGGCACGCCGGCCGCGTCCCGGCCCCCGGGCTTCGGCGCCCCCCGAGCTCTTCCGGGCCTCGCGCCCCGCCGAGCGGAGCGGCACGCGATCCGCTCGCGGGGCGCAGCGCGTCGCCGTGGCCGCCGCCGCGACACGCCATGGGTGACCGCCTACCAGACCACACCAACCCAACCCGAAGGCCTCAACTTGCCCCCCCTTTCCAATGGGGGGGGCGTCGGGGAACACTGAGAGAACACACACACACGCACATGGAGCCCGCACTCCCCCAGCCCGAAATTCGGGCCTTCGGGTTGGGGTTGGGGTGGTCTGCTAAGCAGCCCAGAAGCACCGAGTTCCCGACCGCCTGCTCGAGCGAAGCCTGCCCCGCGCACCCTGCGCACCCCCGCGGCCGCCCGCCGCCAGGGGCGCCCGCGGCCCCCCCTGGGGCGCACGCTCTGCCGTGCCTCCGACGGAGGACGGCCGCGTGCCGAGGCCGCCAGGGCCCCTACACAGAGGTCCGGGGCTGTGGAGCGGCCGGCCTCGTGCCATTTTGAAGACGGGCGTGCCCCTCTACAGGAGGAGCAGTCAAGCACAGCTTTTCAGACAAGTCTGTGGGAGGTGTTCCGCTTTTTTTTGGCACCATGGTGGGGATTGTTTTTGTTGGTTTTGTAATGTGTCGTTTTGAACTCGCCTGTAGGGGGACATGCCGTACCTAAGCCTCAGGCTCTGTTCGGCCTCCTGGAGCCATCGACGGGCCCCGGGACTGTCCCAAAAAGACTCCAGAGGAGAAGCTGGCCCTAAGGAAGAGGTCCCGGCCTCCGAGGGGGTCCGCGCATGGAGAGACTCGGAGCGCTGGATTCCGAGGCGGGAATTTGTACATGACCACCGCCTGGAGGATCATTTTCGGGGACCTCGCAGGCGGTGGATATGGATATATAGTCGGGCCCCTGGGGGCCAACATATATCCATATCCATTGCCCGCTGGGGCACCAGGACGTCGTTTCCCAGGTGGTGTATATGGATAAATCCCCGCCTCGCATCGATGTCTGGGAAGGGCGCCAGTGCTCACTGGCGATCCCGCCTCGCGTTCTCTGGGGGGGTCGCTCGAAGCAACCTCTGTGGTCCTTGCAGCCGGAGAGGGCTTCGGCGGCGCCCGCCGGGGGAGGGAGGAGGTTGGGATGGTTTTGGCTCGGCCCCGAACTGGCTAGCCCAGAGACCCTGCACCCCCGCACCGCCCCCGACGGGAGCTTGCGAAGGCCGCCCCCATGGCCATGTCGACGCTCTCGCGCTGCCACGGGCCTCCTCGGACACCGCCGGTCCGGTGTCGTGTCGCGTCGCGTCGACGCGGCGGGGGTCCCTGCGGCGAGCGCTGCAGGTGGAACCCGCAGGTGTCCCTGAAGCGGCCGATGTCGAGCATTCTTCGCTATCGGGGAGCCGCGATCGCTCAAGAGGTTGAGCGCTCCACGCGGCGCCAGGAGGGGCAGGGGTGGCGCTGCCACGACACGAGCCTGCCGTTGACTCTCGCAGCCCTCGGATGCCAAGCCCCCGTGGTTGTCCCGAAGACGACGAGGTGACGATCACGTCTGGCTCGATCCCTTCTGGTCAGCGTGTGTCCGAGACCCCGTTCTTCCGCCTCCGAGTGCCCCCTCCTCCTCCACCTTCCGCGGCCGCCCTGTCCGTCCTTTCCCCTCCCCTGCGCGCTGGCCAATTCGCTTCCCGGTGCCCTCGTTTAGCTCTATCGTTGGTGCAGCCATTCTGCCTCGCTGTTCCGGGCTCTCCTCTGCAGAGAGCGTCCTCGTAGCCTGCAGGCCGCGCGAGCCGCCCTCCACCGCATATACGGCGCTCCCGAGCGCGGCCCGGCCGGCCTGGGCGAGAGCTCGAGGATGCGCAGGTCGCCAGATGTTCAAGCAGTGGCGAAGCGTCCTGGCTTACCTGTAGGCCCACCAAAGATTGTTCTAATAACATTTCTGGCTGAGATTGTCGTGCTTAGCACATCGGGCTCATGTTCTAAAAAGCATCGCATTTCGTGGTAGGCCTATGGGGATGCTGGGACTGTCGGTCCCTGCTCGAGATGTCTGTCCGCCGCCTTACGCCGAGGGGCAGATGGGTGCTACCGCAAGCGGGAATAGCGGAGGGGGGCGCTACGGAGCTACGAACTGCTCGCTCTGCGGAGCGACCGCCTTGTAACACCAAACCTAAAGAACTCGGCGGGAACCGTTGGGGTAAAAAACAAAAAAATGTCTGTCCGCTGTCTCGGCCCTGCGTGGCGGCTGGGTGCGCTTCGCGAGGCTCCCGCACGTGCGTGCCCGGCACGCGGCCTCTATGGGTGCTCCACGCGTCGATGTCCAGCCAAGCTTGGGCCCCGTGTACGTTCCCAGCTGCCTGGCACACCATCGATTCTCCTGGTCCTCCCTGGGAGAACAAAAAGTGACATAAACATAAAAGCTCGGAGGTCCGCGCGGATTTCTCGGATCGGCGCTGGACCCCCCTCCCTGGCGCGCAGAGCGCGCCAGGGGCGGCGCCGGAGTCGCCGCCGGGGGGGCCCAGCGCCGATCCGAGAAATCCGCGCGGACCTCCGAGTTTTTGAGTATGTCACTTTTTGTTCCCCTACTCCCGCTCCTCCCTCTCCTCCCCCTGTCGTGCATTTCCGTTGCTGCGTCTCTTCCTCCTCCTCCTCCTCCTCCTCCTCGCCCTTCTCCTCCTCTGCCTGGTCGTCGCCCTCCTCATCCACACACACACACACACTCACTCCACGTCCTTTCCCCTTGTCCTCTTCCTCCTCGTCATACTGCTCTTCCTCCCCGTTTGTGCTTTTCCCCCCCTCGTGCCCCCCCGACGGCGGAGGCGCTCAAGCAGATCCCGCCTCAGCACATGGAGGCGCTCCTCCGGGCCCGCTCCGTCCTCGGCTACCCCGAGCCGTGAGGGCTCGGCTCCTTCGGCTCTCTGGCCTCGTCGTCGTCGATATCGATCGCGCTGTCGCCGTCGCCGTCTGTCGCCATCGTCGGTCGCGTCTTCGTCGTCGTCGTCGGTGACGCCGCCGTCGTCCTCTTCCTCGTCGCCGTGTCACCATCGCCGGCGTCGTCGTCGCCCCCGCCACCGTCGTCTTCGTCGTCGTCGCCGTGATCGGTTTCGTCACCGACATCGGCTTCGCCGTCGTTGCCGTCGCGAACTTCCCGCGGCTTCCGTCGCCATCTTCGGTTTGCATTTTTGTCGTCAGCGTTGGTAACGTTCGACGGGTCGCTCCCTCGCCTGATGGTTCTCGCCTTCTGGGCCTCGGAGGTGGGGGGGCTTGCCGCCACCAGCCAGATAAACCTTGTGATCCTGGCTGGGACGCGCCCTGAGCAGGTCGCGAGGTGCTTGTTGTTTTGTTGTTGTGTTTTGTTGCTGTCTTTGTCTTTGTTCCCAACCATCCTGTGGTGTTGGGCCCTCGTCTTGCAGAGGCAGCGCCCCGCGTCTCACGTCTTTCCTTCCCTCCCGCTGCCCCCCCCCCTCCTCCCCATCACTGCCCCGGGCCTCCGCAGGCTCTTGTCCTCGCGCACCCCCGCTCGCACAGATCATGGCTCCGCAGGGAGCACCGCCGAAGGCCCGCATGGCAGCGCCCGCAGGCGGCTCCACCCTCCCATGTCCGCGCACCCCTCACGTGCGTCGCGGCCCCACAAGGGGGCTCCACCGGAGGCCCCAGTGGCAGCGCCCGCCTGCGGTTTCAACCTCGATTCCGGTGCACTCCTCACACGCGTCGTGATCCCATCGGAAGTACCACCGAGGGCCCCCCCTGGCAGCGCCCGCATATGGTTCCCCCTCATTCCCGCGCGCCCCTCGCATGTTTTGTGGCCCCTTTTCAGGGGGCTCCACCGAAGGCCCCAGTGGCACCGCCAGCCTGCGTTTCCACATTCGCTTTCGGCGCACACGCTTCGTGGCCCCTTCAGGGAGCTCCACCGAAGGCCCCAGCGGCAGTGCCCGCATGCGGTTCCCCCCCTTCTCGGCGCGCCCCTCACACGGCCGTGCCGAAGGCCCCAGTGGCAGCGCCCGCACGTTGCACCCCCCCGACTTCGGCGCACCCCTCACGCGCTTCGTGGCACCATAGGGAGCTCCACGGAAGGCCCCAGCGGCAGCACCCGCAGTGCGGTTCCATCCCCCATGTTGGCACACCACGCGCGTCGTGGCGGCATAGGGAGCTCCACCTAGGACGATCTTCGCAGCTGCGTTAGCCACAACGGCAGATGGTCAGGTCTGTTGCCAGGATGACTTGTTTGGGGCAATGCCGGCCTCATCTAGGGTCCGCTGTCGGGCCCCGGCACGATGGGCGTCAAAAAGTATCCCTGTGATGAGATGGAGGTCTGTGGGGCCCACGTGCGCGCAGGTGTGTGTGTGTGTGTGTTGTGTGTTGTGTGTCGCGTGTTGTGTGTTGTGTGTCGTGTGTCGTGTGTTGTGTGTGTTGTGTGTGTTGTGTGTGTGTGTGTTGTGTGTGTGTGTGTGTGTGTGTGTGTGTGTGTGTGTGTGTGTGTGTGTGTGTGGGGGGGGGGGGGCGGGCGGATCCCGGTCCCCGTTCCGCGGTCCCCGGCCCCGTTTTGGCTGCTGCTCGTTCAGCTGGCCCTTCACATGGGACCCCGCAGCTGGACTCGAGCGCTTCGCCACGGGCGCGGGGGCGACTGATGTAGCGCCTCCTGCCAGAGTTGGCGCGGACGTGCTGCATGTCTCTGTGACCACTTGCGAAGCTTACGCCTGCAAGTCCAATCGGCGCTGTTGTATCGGACGCTGCGTGCGTGTGTGTGTGTGTGTGTGTGTGTGTGTTCAAGACGCGGATGGCCAGGGGGTTCAGGATTTTCATATTTCGTTCCAGGGCGCATTCCTGCCGGGCAGGCTGCTTCTACTCCGCGAGCTTCCACCGCCCGCTGGCAGGTTTTGTTGCTGTTGGTGTTTCGTACCGTTGTCCACCTCGGTCAGGACAGATCTTTTGGCGCAGGTGTCTGTGCCTCCCACGCATTTCTGCACAGGGTCTCTCGGGCCACGTTTGAACTTCCTTGTGGGCCGCATGTTTCCTCCCCTCTCAGGCTCGTCCTTAGGATGGCTGCTTACCCCTTCATGCTGCCGCCCAGCTGCTGGATTCCCGATGGCGTGTAGTTTTACGTGGTGGCTCATGGGCCTCCCCATCACGCTCTACGTCTGTTCCCCACCTGGTGGGATTTGTGTGTTCCCCCGTCTTGCTCGGCGTTTCGGCGTAGTCTGTCGCGCACCGAATCCGTGACAGCCGCTCTGAAGTTTGTCAGCCTGGTCGAAGGCCGCACGTGCTTGGCGCGGTTGCGTACCTGCACATGCTTGGGCAGCGCCTTCGCGTCCTCTTCGCTGTGGCACTGTGTCGTGAGGCTGTGCGTTCTGGTGCTGTGCGCAGGGCGACATGTCCCGTTCTAGGGCGCATGTGTGCGGTTCATGGCGCGTCGTTGGAGCGGTCGCGGCGTCCCCATCACCGTCTCAGAGTGCCTGCGTTCTCTCAGGGACAGCTTGAGCTCTTCGACTCCACCTGCTCTTTATCTTGGCTTCGCCAGGGAGAGGATGAGCAGGAGGAAGAGGAGGAGGAGTTGCAGAGGAGGAGGAGGAGGAGGAGGAGGACGAGGAGGACGAGGAGGACGACGACGACGAGAAGGTGACCGAACACGACAGGACAGGGGGTAGGAAAGAGACGGAGGAGCAAGAGGATGAGTGCAGGAGCGAAGCGAAGGGGAGGATGCGGGAGGAGGAGGAGGGAGGAGGAGGAGGAGGAGGAGGAGGAGGAGGCGGAGGAGAGTCCGTAGCCATTTTGGCTCAAGTTCGAAACCTTGCCGCGAGGCTTCGAGCTTGTCCGCAGCCGTGCGGCAGGCTCGGGTGATTTTGGCGTGTGACTTCCTGGTGTGCTGCCCTGCCACCAGGCCTGCTCTTCTGAGCTTTCATAGTTGTATCTGTCCCTCGGCAGCCGATGGCTAAGGGAGGCAATGGGTGGCTACGGAATGCATGGGCATGTGCGGCCAAACGCTGTTCGTGCAAGGACAACTTTGAGTGGCGCACCGAGTGCTACATTTGCGGGGCGCCCAAGCCCAAGGCGCCCCAACATGCCCTTCCTCGTGCTCCTGGTGGTGCATGGGCTGACCCAGCTCGTGGCCTACATCGTGGGGGCGCAGGCGCTGGGCCAAAGCCGCGGGTGCTCACCGAGGACGAGCAGCGCGTTTGGCTCGGGCTCAGTGATGAGGAGTTCCGTTCCCTCAGTGGTGTGCTTTCCCAGTCACAGCGTGACAAGTTGCTGCACCGCCGCGCCATGGCGGAATCTGGGCTGGCGCAGCCTGCCTTGGACGCCTGGCAAGCCTCGCAGGATGTCAGCTCGCTTTCCAACCAGCTGCTGGGAGCCCGCGGTCGCCTCCAGAAGCTGGAGCAGTCGGCCACCGACATCATGGTGCAGGTCGCCGACCAGCGGGAGGCGGTGCGAGGCCTGGAGGAGGAGTACGCCGCCGCCAGGGCGCGTGCCTCCGTGGCCTTGGCGCCAGGGGCGCAGCTCGGCCCAGAGGTGCGTGCAGCCCAGACCGCCTTCGGCCAGGCGCGCGCCGCGGTGGGGGGGGGACGTTCCCCCAGCGGTCGCGGCGCTGGTGGAGGCTTGCGAGCGGCTCCTCGGGGCAGTCGTGGGGGCTGCGGCCGGAGCGGGCGCGGCGCCTGGGATGGCCACGGGACCTGCTGAGCGTGCTGATGCGGAGCCTGCTCGTGGGGCCTCGCCAGCAGCTGTACGACAGCCTCATTCCCCAGGCGGCGGGCAGGAGGTGGCAGCGGCACTGTGTCGGCAGACCCAGGAGTTCGCGGCGGCATCAGGACATCCTGGAGGACAAGCCTGGGACGCGGCAGGTGCCGACGACTCCGACTCGGACGAGCCCATGGCTCCCCCCCCTCGTGCTCTTGCAGCTGGGGGGCAGCTCTTCGTGGCGGCGGACCAGCGCGTGCAGGACGAAGCCACAAGGGCTCTCGCTCGAGCAAGTGACCAAGGGAGGCTGCCCGACGCGAGGGGACGCAGCCGTTCCCAGGGGCGTGACCCAGAGGTGCAGTCGGCGCCTGCGGGGGGCGCTGCCCGCGCCCACGCTGCGGGGCGCCGCGACGCCCGAGGGGCCAGGCCGCGGGGGTAGCCACCAACTGGAGCTGGACGGCGGCACGTCCAGCGACGATGTGGGTCAGAAGGTGGGGGCACCCTTTGATTGCCCCGCCAGTGACTGCGAGGCGGCGTCCGCGGACCCAGCGGGCGCCACATCCCGTCCAAACCCTTTGTCGGATCGGCAAGAATTATGGCGAGAACGCGAAGCTGGAGATGGTCCTACGGCGGCTTCAGCTTCACCCAAGTGTTGGAAGTTCTGCACCTGCAACACCACCAGCTGGAGCAGCGTGCAGTGGTTCCTTGAGAACGAGTGCGACGCCGACGTGGTCATGCTGCAGGAGGTGGCCATCGCTCCTGAGCTGCAGCCTGATCGCGAAGCAGCAGTAGGTCGCCTAGGTTGGAAGGCCAAGGCTGCGCCCTCTCGGGACACGGGAGGAGGCCTCTCAGGGGGCGTGTTGGTGGGCACGTGGCCTCATATTGGCCTCTGCGAGGCTCCTGTCCCGAAGCGCCCTTGGCCCTCTGAGCGGGTTCTCCTCATGTGGGTCAACGGCTTGGTTCCTGGAGGCTTTATTGCTGGGTCGGTTTATTTGGTCTCTGGCGGGGGCCTCGATGACCAGAGTTTTCTGATCCTGAAGCAGCTGGGCGAGGCCTTGAAGGCCATGGGGCAGCCGTTCATTCTCGGGGGTGACTGGAACGTGGCGCCTGAAACGTTAGGGGCCTCAGGATGGCCGTCAGCGGTAGGAGGCTCCATCGTCACCACGGGGGCCTACACTTGTCGGAGCTCGGGGTCCTCCACCACCTGGAGCTGTCTGGATTATTTCGTCGTGTCTGCGGGGTTTCTGCATTCGGTGAAGAACTGTCGTCGGCAGGAGGATTGTAGTACGGCCCCGCATTGGGCCGTCAACATGGAGGTCTCAGGCAAGCCGTGTGCCTTGGAGTTGCCCTCCCTCAAGCTGCCCAAGCAGTTCCCGCTAGAGCTCCCCTTCGGTCCTCGCCCGTTAGGTAAGTCATGGGATGCTGTGCACACCATCGTCGATGATGTGAATAGCGAATTCGACCTGCCGTCTGCCTACCTCTCGTTCTGTGACGCCGCAGAGGACGAGCTTTCTCTCCTGCACGGTCTGGAGAAGAGTGAAGCTAGGCGGTGCAGTGGCCGTGGACGTGGAGCTTCGGTTGTTAGGCGGCCAGTTCTACCCAAGTCTGGAGGGTGTTACCCTAAGGCGTCCCCCGAGGCTAGAGCTTGGAGGCTGATTCAGAATCGTTTGCAAGAGTTGCAGTATCTGGTCAGGAAACGGCAGTGCGAGTCTCGGGACGCCTTGGGTCTTCGGCGTAAGCTTCTGGATTGGTCGGGGCGACTCAAGCAGGACCCAGTCTGGAACAGCTTCAGAACGGATCTTGGGACGCTGGATATACACCCCGATCTTAATTTGGAGTCATTCATCGTCAGGGCCCAGAGCGAGGCCCACAGGATCGAAAGCATCTTCGCGAAGTCCAGGGCCAAGAACTGGCGGGAGCACGTTGCTCGTTCTGTACAAGGAGGGGGGGGTCTGGCTCACAAAGTCACTAAGATCCCCCAGGCCTGGACTCCTGACGAGAGTGCTGGTGGGGCCCCTTGGGGAACCGATCAGCTCCTGGAGGGCCTCACCCAGGAGTGGCAGGGGATCTGGGGGTGGAAATCTAGTGTAAGTGAGCTGGACCGTCTCGCGGTTATTCAGCAGCACATACAGGCGCTCGACCTCGACCCGACCCCTCAGCCTATCGAGTTGCCGCTCCTGAGGAGGACACTCGGCAAGTTTAAGAAGTGGACGGCAGTGGGAGCAGACGGTTGGCACCCGCACGTCCTGAACCAGTTGTCCGACGACGGGCTTCTGGCGTTTTCCACCCTCTTGTGGCAGATGGAGAGGCTGGTCGCCTTCCCGTTTCAGTTGTGGAAGATTGTCATTGGGTTTTTACTGAAACCAGAAGGGGGGAGGCGTCCAATCGGCATCTTGACCACGTGCATGCGCGTTCTCTCGGCCTGCAGGAAGTCTGAGGCTAAGCAGTGGGAGAGGGAGCATGAGAGGGATTGGGTCTACGCCACGCAGGGGAAGAGTTGTGAGAGGGCGGTCTGGGTTCAGTCCGCTATGAACGAGTGGGCCTCTCATCACAACCAGTCTTCTGCCTCAGGCCTGGTTGATCTTCAGAAGGCGTATGAGCATGTCGGACACGTTCGCCTTTTGGATTTCGCGGTGCAGCACAGTTTCAGCCCGCGCAGAGTTGCCCTCCTGGTCACTATGTACAGCGCCCCTAGGGTTCTGCAGGTGGGGCTATTCGTTTCGGAGTGGTTTAGAGTTGCTCAAGGGATCCTCGCAGGGTGTGCATATGCTACGATGCTCCTCCGTCTGTACCTCACCAGTACTCTTGATTCGGTCATCCCTCTCGCCGTCAACATCTCTGCCTACCTAGTGGTGGATGACTGCACGTTGTCAGTGATCGGGCCAGCCGAGATGGTATTTCGTGGGCTGGTACGAGCGCCCCACGCATTGTGCAGTAAGCTGGAGGATCTAGGACTGAAAGTGTCTCCCACTAAGAATAGGATTGTGGCGTCGTCCAGGACCATGGGTAAGGCTATATCCAGCAGGCTTCGTCGGTGGAACTTCGTGGTCGTCGACGGGGTCAAGAATCTTGGGATTGACTTTTCGTGTTCAAGGGCGGCACGCAGGGTCCAGAAGGGTCGGATTCTGAGCGTCAGAAGAAGGATTCGCAGGTTTCGGTTACTCAGCTCGTCGCGAAAGGGGCTATCTCGTATTTTCAAGGCAGGAGGAGCTCCCGCGGCCCTGTATGGTACCAGAGTTACGGGAATGAGTAACGCGGATCTCTCCTCCCTGAGGGCTGCTGCTGGGTCGGCGCTGTTTGGGCCGTCGGCGGGCAAGAGCCGCTCGTTGCAATTTTCTCTCAGCGAGGACCCCAAGTCCGATCCCGTGTATGCGGGCAACGCCTTGCCGCTGGTGTTCTGGGGGCGCGCGATCGTCGAGGGTTGGTTGTCGAGAGATATCTTGGGGTCCCTTTTTGCCAAAGCGTTTGCTAAGTTTAACGGCAGGGTCCGTGGGCCCTGCTCGGCTGTCTTGGCCACCTTGAAGCGCCTGGGTTGGACGCCGCAGAGTGAGTCGACGTGGGAGGCGGGGGGGGGTGCTGGTTGATCTGACGGAGGTCCGCCCTGGCTCGCTTCGAAAAGTTGTCGATTTAGGAACGGAGCTTGCGCTCCTACGGTGCCTCCCTGGGCCCCCTGGTTTGGAAAACCTGGGGGGACCCCCTCTCCTGGAGCCCATCCGTCAGGCTCAGCAGCAGCTTCGACGTGAGGGTTTCAAGACGGCGGCGCAGCTCCTCGGAACCCATGTCGCTGGGGGGCTCTGGACTCAGGCGCGCCTCTTCGCGGCACGGTCCGTCGACTCGCCCTTGTGTCAGGTCTGCAAGGCGGAGCCAGGAGACGAGGGGCACCGTTTGTTCAGATGTGAATTCAGTGCTGTGGTCAGACGCGAGCTTGACCTGGACGATGTCACGCGTGCTGGCAGAGAATGCGAGCATCAAGATCCCCTCCTCCACAGGGGCCTTGTGGACTCCTTGCTTGACCTCCAACCTCCCCCGAGGCTCGACGGGCTCGTGGAGTATGACGGGCCCATGGTGGGAGGGGCCCTCTCAGGTCTCGTTGGCATCGACGGGTCCTGTTTGGCGCCCAATTTTCCTCTGGCTTCTAGGGCTGGTTGGTCTTGCGTGAAGATAGACCGCCATGGGGACTCGGAAGGAGCCATATTTGGGCCTCACCCTGGAGTTTTGCAGGAGATCGGAGCAGCAGAGCTCTGGGCTTTTTATATGTGTCTGTGCAATTGTGTAGGCGAGGTAACGGTCGTCACCGATTGTAAGTCTCTCATCGATGGTGTAGCGGCAGGGCCTGAAGCGCGCTGCCGTCCCACGAAGGTGTATTCTGAAGTGTGGTGCAAGATTTGGTTTAAGATCGACGAGATAGGTCTTGAGCAGATTCACTTGCACTGGATACGAAGCCACGAATCCTGGACTCATGCACAGGCGCAAGGGGTCCCGTGGCTTCACTACAGAGCTAATAAGCTTGCTGATGTGTATGCCAAGAAAGGCGCGAGGTTGCATCCTGTTTCTGAGGAGGTAGAGGAGTTGAGGCCGCTTTTGTGGTGGTCGGCCTATTTCGTTGCTCTCTACTCAGGCAGGATCCTCGCGCACCTCGCCGCCTCCTCTTTCCCCGATGCTCTCAAACCTCGGCTCCGTCGCGCTTTCGACCCGCTCGAGCTCGTGTCGGATCCCAAAGGGCATCAGGCGAAGTATTCTGGAGGCCGCTGGTTGTGCTTGAGTTGTGGCCGCAGCTGCTCGACTCGAGCCAGGCTGGTGCACGACAGGTGCCCTGGGGTCATGGCGAAGCTGGCTCAGGCACATTGGTCTCACAGGCTCTTGTGCTCGGGTGGTCCTGGCGGTCTTGTGTGGTGCAGTGTGTGCGGGGCGTATGCCAGACGGCAGATTTTGGCCCTCGCGGATCGCTGTGCAGGACACCCCACAGATGGCCGAGCACGGGCCTTGCGCCAATTAAAGCAGGGGCTGGACCCCTCCTCCAAGCGGCCCATCCCCCGCTCTTGCCCCGTGCAGCCCCCTCTCCATCCCCGCCGCGTCGGGTGGGCTCGGGGGCTGTATGAGGTCTTGGGCGAGAGGCGGGACATCCGCTGGGAGGATTCGGAGTAGGGAGCCTGGAGTGTGTAGGCAGTCCTGAGGCTTCCTCGGCGTGTAGTGGAGGCGTTCGGATTGCGGTGGTTCCCTCGGGGGCCGCCGTCAGAGGAGCGGAAAGCGGAAAGAGGAGGCGGAGGAGGAGGAGGAGGAGGAGGAGGAGGAGGAGGGAGGAGGAGAAGGTGGGCGGGACGTCTGGTAGGCGGAACGCGATACATAGCGTCATCCAGTGGACATCGGCCCGGTGGCTGCAGGACACACGATGGAGAACAAGTTTCGCGCGCCTCGCTTGTGGCAGACTCGTGCTCCGCCTCTACCTTTTCTTGTTGGCCCTCAGTCGCCTTCCTCCTCCTCAGTCCCTCGTTCAGTCCTCGCCCTAGCTGCCTCGATACGCCCGCCGTCAAACGCAACACGTGCCGTTCTTAAAACTCCCGTGTCAATACGTTGCGTGTTGACTCAGCGCATTGGCCCACGTATTGGCGAACGTACCGCGTCATACCCAAGTTTTGAAGTTTATACGTGTTGAGCTCCGTGTCACTACGCTACGTAGTGCGCGTTGCATATCGGGGCAGCTAAGGTATTCGCCCTCGTCGATCGCGGAAGAGCATGAGGACTCAGGGCCGAAAAAGAGCCAACGCCGCCGAAGCGATGAGAGTCCACCACCACCTCCTCCTCCTCCTCCTCCTCCTCCTCCTCCTCCTCCTCCTCCTCCTCCTCCCAGCGTCACGCCGTCGCGCTCTCGCATGCCGCTTCTGTAGCAGGGGCGCTGTGCAGCGGCACATCCGCTGCGCTCCGCGCTGCACCCTCATCGCACCGCCGGCAGGGTGCCTCGCTGGTGCTTTGCGCCATCCGCGTGCGAGGCGCTGCGAGTCTCTGAGGAGCTTGAGGTCGCTCCTCCTCCTCCTCCTCCTCCTTCTCCTCCTCCTCCTCCTCCTCCTCCTCCTCCTCCTCCTCCTACCCATCCTCCTCCTCGTGGGTGTCCTCCGCCTCGGACTTCTGCTCCACAGACCTCGCACGTCGTGCGTCTTTCGCGACGCGGGACCCTGGAACTCTCGCCCCCTCCCCCCGGCGGCGGAACTCAGAAGCAAGCGCCCGTCGGCCCGTCGTCGTGTTTTCGCGACGTCCAAAGCTTCAGGACTTCCTCCTGCATCAGGTTGTCCCTCCCCGCTCTTGATTTGAGCCCACCTCGCTGCCTGGGTCGCTTTCACGTGCCGCTGCTGCTTGCTCTCCTGCTCCTCCTCCCCCTCCCCCAAGAACTTAGGTCCCGCGGGTCGGCCTTGCCTCCCTGTGGGCACAGTTGGCTGTCCTTCTCCTCCTCCTCCTCCTCCTCCTCCTCCTCCTCCTCTTCCTCCTCTTCCTACTCCCTCTTCTAGAGGACTGTCCTCTTCCTCCTCCTCCTCCTCCTCCTCCTCCTCCTCCTCCTCCTTCCCAGAGGTCTCGAGGGCCCCGGGGGTCCCCGGAACTCCCTGGAGGCTTCCGCGGGTCCTCGGGGTCTTCCGGAGGCCTCCGGGGACGCCCAGCAGAGGTCCGCCGCGTCCCATGAGAGCGGCCTCGCTCCGCCGACGCGTCCGGATGCACGCGGCGTGGCCGGCCTGGGCACGAGCCGGCTGCTCGCGTGGCCGCACGCCTCTCCGGCGCCCGCCCCTCCCACGGCCCGCTGGGCGGCGTGCCGGCCCTCCGCGCGCGGATCTGGCGTTTTGACCCTTCAGTCGGGCATGGCCCTCTACAGGAGGAGTAGTCAAATGTAGTCACAACATAATCCCGGGGAGGATTTGTGGATTGTTCTTCGACTCTTTTGGACAGTTGGTGCTTATGTTTCAGCTTTCGCCAACAAATCCGCCTGTAAGAGGACATGCCCGACCCAAGCCTGGCCTCCCTGTGTCCCGCATGCGTGCCCAGCCACGGGTGCTTGCGGCCTCGTGCAGTGGGAGCACTTGCCAAGGGACGCCAGGCATTTTGCCAGGGTGCCCTGGGTTTGCTTGGTTCGGTGGTCGCATTTATGTGGCTCGAGCGGCCGCGAAGACGCCGAAGCTGGCAGGGTACCCCGGGTGTCTTGATGCTGATACGCTTTGCGTGAGCCATCAAGACGCTGCTTGGCCCAGGGCACCCTGAGTTTCTTCGCTGGCAGTCGCTCAGCAAAAAAAACAACCCTGGCCCACAAACTCGGGCGATTTTCAGGGCTGGGTTTCTTGCGATGGGTTTCTGCTGGACTGGTCTGATCCTCCCTCGTGCTCTTCCTCCCTCTCCAGCTGTCACCACTGACGACGCTTGCTGTCGGGCAGCGTCCCCAGTCACAGCCGGTAGCTCCAGAGTTCTCTGGAAGTCTCCCGCGGGAGTTCCCCGCGGGAGGCCTTGCAGAGGCCTTGCAGAGGTGCCTGGAGGCCACGCGCCTCCACAAGCCTCGAGCCTCGGGCCTGGACCTTCCCCCTTCTTCAGCCCTGTGCATGCAAGTAGCCCTTCAGACATAACTACCTGCAGGGCCCTCACGTGTCTCTGGGCTTGCCTGGTGCATGTGGTTGGGCAGCACTGGCGCGAAGGGTGATAAGAGGCATAGCCCTCCAGACCGACAGACCTAAGTCCCCTTGCCCTGGTGCTACTGTCAGGGACGTTGGCTAAGCGTGTCGCTCCGCCGGTTCTGGCCCAACACGCTGCGGCGCGACTGTATCCACGTCTTGGTCCCCAGATGTCAGCGCCTCGAGTTTTTCAGAGCCTCCCGCCCCGCGGGGCCGAGCGATACGCGATCCAGTCGCAAGGCGTAGGTCGCCGGGGCCACCGCCGCGACACGCTGAGCAACAGTTCCCGAGCGACCCCTGCCTCCCAGGCCTCCAGTGTCCTATGTACTTTCTTCCTGACGTGGCCCTCCACAGGTCCAGACCTCCTCCCGGGGACGGTTTTTCATCCAGAGTCCAGAGTGGTTTTTGTCGGACGGCCCCGAAGGCCCGTAAGGGCCCCCAGACGCCATAAAATAGCGACGAACGTTTGGTCATGATTTTCTCGCGACGCGGTAGGGTTAGCTCCTCCTCCTGCTCGTCCTCCTCCTCCTCCTCCTCCTCATCCCTCCCTCCTCCTTCTTCCTCCCTCCTCCCTCCTCCCTCCTCCTCCCTCCTCCTCCTCTCCTCCTCCTCCTCCCCTCCTCCTCCTCCTCCTCCTCCTCCTCCTCCTCCTCCTCCTCCTCCTCCTCCTCCTCCTCCCCTCCTCCTCCTCCTCCTCCCTCCCTCCCTCCTCCGTGCGCAGTTTCGGCTCAGGCCGCCCCCCCCCTCTGCCGGCCGTCCTGGGGGCGCGGCCGCCCAGCGGCCGCCGGGGGGCGAGCCCGGCGGATGCTCGCGGGCATGCCCTGAGAGGCGGGGCGGGGTCGAGGTGGGCGTGTCCCTCCACGGGTGGGGCTCTTTCCAAATCGGGCGAAGGGAACAATGCACATGCCCGATCCTGGCAAGGCCCATTCTTGACCCAGGATCGGTGCATATACCTTCCTGGCCAAGGTAGGAGGGCGTATGCACCGATCCTGGGCTCAGGGTGGGCCTGGCCAGAATCGGTGTATGTGCATAGCTCTCTTTCCTCTACCAAAGTAGTGAGGTAATAGTCGGAGGTGGATAGGCCTCCTACCCCGACGCGTCGATGAAGGAATTGGCCGTTTTCGGTTCGCGGGAGGGCGTCGCGGCCGCCATTTTTGCGGGTCCAGGTCCGTCGGTTTCGGTCCCTGGCCGCTTTCACTGAGGGGAGGTTTATTAAAGGGAGGTTTGTCCACCGCTGAAATAGTCAGGGGGCGATGTCTCGACTATGTTTGGCTATGCTGGAACATTTTTTCGACGATGTCTAATTCTCCTTCCAGAATCCGCCTGTAGGAGGACATGACCGATCCAAGGGTAGGGCGGGCGGCGCAGTCGAGCTCGATCAACAGGTCGGCCCTGCAGGGTCATCAAGGGTTAGTGCCGTCTGGGGGTCTGAGGGGACCCAGCACTGGTTGCGGCAGGAAGGGCGGACAGGTGCGAGGTTTTGGGTTCGGGAAGATGTTTTTTTGCCTTTTTCGGCTCCGGGGGCCATTTTCGGACGCCGGGACGGTGAACAACTGATCTGGGGCTTGCAGCAGGCGGACTCCGGGAGGGGTCCGGCGACCGGTGTTGGGCGGACTCGTCCACTTTCCTGGCCGACCTTCTGGGGTCCCGACCAGATCAGGCCCCCTGGCCGCTTCCAAGGTCGGCCCTGCAGAGCCAGCAAGGGTAGCCTTTGCGGTCCTCGTGGCATCGCTCGGACGTGCGCCTGATCTAGGGCGAGGCCAGCGCCAGAGGCTGCGAACCATCTTGGAGCATCCAGGATCCTCTTGCGGGGCAGCACGCGCACGGGACCAAGCACACCGCGTGGGGAGTGGACGTCCGAGCGATGTTGCAGGTCTTGTGCGTCGCGAATCGTGTCCTCTGCGCTCCTGGGGCAGGGGCACCTGGTATTGCGGGGTCATGCCATCGAGATGGAGGGAGGAGGGAAAAAGGATGGAGGACCACTGGGCGGGTGGAAGACGGAGTGGGGAGGAGGATGTAGGAGTGAGAGCAGCAGAACAAGTTCGGAGGAATGCTGGGGGGAGGAGGAGGAGGAGGAGGAGGAGGAGGAGGAGGAGGAGGAGGAGGAATTGGGAGGATTTCGGATAGCAGAGGGTCGGGGGAGGAGATGGGGGCGGGAGCGGGGAGGGAGGAGGAGAAGGAGGCGGAGGAGCAGGAGCAGGAGAAGGAGGAGGCCAATGTTTGAGCTCGGGCCCTGCCTCCCTCTACTGTGGGGGCGTTGGGTAAGGAGTGTGCTCGGAAGGCTTCGGACCCTGGATGGTTCCCTATCTGAGGATGGCGGCGGTGATATGCATGGTCAATCCGCGATGGGAGTTCACCGTCGTCCAGACCCTGGGTTCCTCATCCACTGGTCAGTTATCCCATGCCCTCACCGTGCCTACCTGGATGGAGCTCCCGATTCCCACGCTGTCACTCTCCCCCGCCCATCGAGGACCACCCGGCGATGCAAGACGTCGCAAGACGTCCACGCCCCCTCGCTCGTGCACACTGCGCCTCCTGCGCTGCTGTTCCCCATCCCTCCCGCCTGCCGCTCCGTCCGCTCCGTCCGCCCCTGCTGCTCCCTGGGCGTGCTGCCTCTCCGCCCGCTTCTCTGCTCGGCCACGCTCCGGTCGAGGGAGCTAAAGCGGCACAGCACATGCAGTGGAGGCCCATGCCAGGCAACGCCCTGCTTGCCTCCAGGGTGCCCTGGGCTTCTTGGGGTTCGATCGTCTTGCCACGGAAGGCGCGACGTGCCCACACACCAAACATCGATGGACGTCCTGTGGTCTCAGGGCTGGGTTTCGTAAGTGAAAGGTCTCTCGTGGACGGGCCTCCAGTGTATAAAGCGGCACAGGCCACACCTGTGCCGAGCTCCGCGGCGGATCTCTCTCTCTCTCTCTCGGATCGGCCCCGGGCCTGCCGGGCGGCGCCGCCTCTGGCGCGCGCTCCGCGCGCCGGGGAGGGGGGGGGGGGGTCCAGCGCCGATCCAAGAGAGCCTCGCGAAGCTCTGGCAGCTTGTGTTCCTGCCTTTTTTTGTTGTTCCCCTATTTGGGGGGGGGGCTGCAGGGCAGGTGGCCAGCTCATCCTGCTCCTCGCCCGCGCAGCAAACGGCGGCGTGATGGGGACGCCGTCTGGGAGCAAGAACCAGGACGCCGTCTTTGAGGAGGAGGAAGGGCGAGATAAGAGCAGGAGCCAGAGGTGGAGGAGGGGAAGGAGGACTGGCAGGAGGATGCGGGGCGGAAGGGGCGGGGCAGGTGAAGACCCACAGGAGAGATTACGGGAAGGAGAAGGAGGGTTCGGGGCCAGGCGGTAGGAGAGGGATGTGGATCAGGGGAGTGGGAGGAGGGAGAGATAGAGGTAGAAGACAGCGAGAGAGAGAGAGAGGGAAACAAAAACAAAGAGGGAGAGAGATTGAGAAAGAGAGAGAGAGAGAGAAAGACACATATCTAGAGAGAGAGGGATATCAGGACGAGAGAACAGAGGAGGAACATGTGAAGCAGGAGGAGGGAGGAGGGAGGAGGAGGAGGAGGAGGAGGAGGAGGAGGGAGTTGGGAAGAGGGAGGAGGGAGGAGGGAGGAGGAGAGGTAGGAGGAGGATGAGGAGGCGCAGGAGGAGAGATGGAGGGAAGATGGAGTGGGAGGGTAAGGGGAGGGAAAAGGGGACGAAATCTGGATGGGGAGAGGAGTCGAGGGGATGTCGAGGGAGGAGAACGAAGGGTTCAGGGCGAGCGGATATCTACGTACGGGTAATGACGGGGAGGAAACGGACGAGAAAGAGGACAGAGTCACGTACCATTTGTTTGTCGGGCTTGGTAGCCTCAGTGCAGGGTGTCGAGGGCCCTGCAGCTGCCTGCGGCGAGCCCCGCTCCCGTGCCGGCGCAGCGGCGCTGCAGAAAGGACGTTGAGCTTACAGTGCCGTTTTTAATCATGCTCCGCGTGCGGATCATGTGTACAAATGCAGGGATCGAGCACTACAACAACGATGAATTCATGAGTAAATGTATTCCTAAATTAATCATGGATTAGAAATCCTATATTTTTGAACATCCTGTGTATTGAAAACTGCCCTGTAAGAGGCCTGCTCGAGGCCAGCGCTCTGCATGCACACGAGGTGCGGGCCTCGTGCGCCCCCCCCCTCCCCGTCCGCAGCCTCGCCCTTCCCAGCCTCCCCCTCCTTTCTCGTCCTCCTCCCCCTCGAGGCGGCGCGCTCAGGGCGGGCAGCAGCAAGAGGGGGGCGGCCCTTCATGTGGGCAGCCTCCTCCTCCCCCTCCTCCTCCTCCTCCTCCTCCTCCTCCTCCTCCTCCTCCTCCCTCCTCCTCTTCCTCATCAGCAGCAGCAGCAGCATCATCATCCTTCTCCTCCTCTTCCTCCTGCTACTGCTCCTCCTCCTCCTCCTACTGCTCCTCCTCCTCCCCGGGGGCCTCTCAGACGGGGCCAGAGGCTTCCAGGAAGGGCCTCTTCGGTGCCCTCTTGCCTCGTTGTCCGCGCTGCGCCCGTGGCCACACGGCCTTCTTCTCGGCGCCGCTCCCCCCCCCCTGCCTCTTGAGTGGTTTTTGATGTCCTCCCTTTGCGCTCCTCGTCGTCGTCGAGTTTCACCACACGGATGCCAGCGCCAGGCAGGAGCACCGGGGGAGTGGGCACAGCGCGCTGGCCCGCCCCCACTTGCCATCCGGGCCTTCTCGCTGAGCCACCTCCGCCTCCCGCTCTTCCTCTTGCCCGCAGTCTCTCCTCAAAAGAGGCGCGTGTCAGAGGGCGAAAAATGACAGCAGAAGTTGCGAATTGCGAGAGAAGCGAGGCGCGGCAGGCTGCAGGCCTCGCAGCGTTGCCGGTAAGTAGACTGGCGGCGGACCCAACCCAGACTCCGAAGACAGGCGGCTCCGACCAACACCGCAGTCCGTGTGGCATGCAGGTCGCCAGCGCCAGCTTCCAAGACATGTGTGGAGTCTCGGACACTTTCCACCGCCTGCCGTGGGAAGCCCGCGGCGCTGAACTCCGCCATGGGCTGGTTCCAGGATCTTGTGACATGTGAGCTCGCCCTGAGACAGTGGTATGCCTTGGCTTCAGGTAGGTCTAAAATCTTACGGTTCAGAACTTTGGCTTAGCGTGTCCATCCGCCAGTTCTGGCCCATCACGCTTCTGCGCGACACGCTATCCATTTCCTGGCCGCCCAGCGTCAATGTGTCGAGAGTTTTCCCGAGCCCCCCCTGCCTCGCGGAGCAGAGCGACGCGCTATCCGCTTGCCAGACATAGCTTGTCGCCGGGCGCCGGGGCCGCCGCCGCAACACGCCAAGAGAAAGTTCCCGACAGTGAGTATCGACTAGACGTAAGAGTGACATTTCGCCGAAGTGACCTTTGGTGCGTGCCCATGGGATCCCCCGATCGCTGAACGCGAAGCGGTAGCAGCGGCTTGCGCGCCTGGGTTTGGCCACCCCGCGTCCCCCGTTAAGCCGCGCACCGAAGGTCACTCTTGCCTAGGGTCACTCTTGCGTGTAGCCGTGAGCATTTCGCAACTGCTAGGCTCCTGCCCCAAAGCCAGGGAGCTTCCCGGGATGCCAGAGTGCCCCGTGCGGGCTCTGAGGCCGTTGGCCCTCTCCGGCGCCCGTAGCCTCACCGAGTGCTCTGGAGCGGATGCCGCTGGCGCTGCTTCGACTGTGCCTGCGGCGTCCGGACCTAACTGTCCTCAGGAGGCCTGTGCAGCCCCGGCCCCCTCTGTGCGTGCCCTTGTTCGTATCGGTGCTCGAGCAGCGGCGAAGCGTCCTGGCTTTACTGTAGGCCACCCAAAGAATGTTCTAAGAACCTTTCGTGGTCTGCGCGAGATGTTCTCAGAACAGCTCTGAATGAGACTGTTTTGTTTTAACACATTGGGCTTATGTTTTAAATTGGAAAGTTCTGGGTTCTAAAAAGATTTCGCGGTAGGCCTACAGGGAGTTCTAGAAAGTTCTGGGTTCTAAGAACCTTGTTTTTTCAACCTCCCTGCACAGGAATGCCGGGACGGTCGGTCCTTGCTCAAAATACGTCCTTGGCCCGCACCCTGGCGTGTTTCCGAAATTTAGCAGTCGGCTCTGCCTGTTGTTCCGTGCTTTCGGAGTGGGACCCACTGTGCGGGGGCCCCCGGACGCAAATTCCTTGCTCAGCAGAGGAGGCAGTTTGCTCAGATGTGAATTACCCTGGCCGCAGGGTGTCCGACTCACCAGCTGACAATCGCCACTCGCACCTCATGGGGAGGTGGAGTTGTAGCATCGGGTGGGGTTCAATTTCGGCATCAGTTTTGTCGATCATAGATTGGGTGAGTGAGGCGAGGGCCGCTAGCAAAGAAGGAGGAGGGGGGATTGACAGTAAGAGACAGAGGAGGTGGTAGCCGGCGGCGGTGGAGGAGGAGGAGGAAGAGGAGGAGGAGGAGAAGGAGGAGGAGGAGGAGGAGGAGGAGAAGGAAGAGGAGGAGGAGGAGGACCAGGAGGAGGAGGAGGAGAGGAGGAGGAGGAGGAGAGAGGAGGAGGGAGGGAGGCAGAGGAACAGAAGGAGAGAGGAGGAGGAGGAGGAGGAGGAGGAGGAGGAGGAGGAGGATGGGGAGGAGGAGGAGGAGGAGGGAGGGAGGAGGAGGGGAGGAGGGAGGGGGGAGAGGAGGAGAGGAGAGGAGGAGGAAGCGCAGGGAGGCGGAGGAAGCGCCGCTGCGGCCCCCCCAAACAACTGCCGAAAGACCGTCTTCGACGACCGTCTGGAGCGCCGCGCCAGGGACGACTTCGACGGCGGCGCCTACTGGGGCCCTGGGGTCGAGGGCGCCGGCCTCGGCAGACCCATCACGCCTCGCGGCTGCTCCTTGTCCTCTTACGCTTCCCTCCCCCTCCTCCGCCTCTCTCCTCCTCCTCCTCCTCCTCCTCCTCCTTCTCCTCCTCCTCCTCCTCCTCCTCCTCCTCCTCTTCCTCCTCCTCCTCCTCCTCCCCTCCTCCTCTTTAAGGACACTTCTCGCATCGAGGATCCTCCCCTCCCTTCCTCCTACCACTCCTCCTCATCCTCCTCCTCCACCTCCTATTCCTCTGCGTCCTCTTGTCCTCCTCCTACTCATCCTCCTCCCTCCTCTCCCCATGGGGAGAGGAGGAGAAGGACCTCGAGAAGCTCCAGAAAGAACATGGGCATCCATGAACGCAATCGATGCTAAACTTGCCAAACGAGCTAAACAAGACTAGGCGGTCCGGTGTTGACCGAGGCAGCTCTCTTGTGCCCTGGCATGAAGCCGAGGGCCAACTGCTTGAGCATCCCAGCGCCGTGGGCAGTGGGCTTCGAACTGCACTGACCCGCGAGAGGCGCCAGGAGTCGGCTTCTGGGCCCGTGCCCAGAAACCTCGCACTTCACGACGGGGTGGCAGGGAATCCACAGGCTAAGGTGAAGTGCGCGAGCCTCGGGGGACGAAGTCCCCCCAGCGGCCAGGGCTCGCGAGGCCGCAAGGGCCCGCAGAACAGAGGAGGAGGAGCAGCAGAAGGAGGAGGAGGAGGAGGAGGAGGAGGAGGAGGGGGAGGTCCTTCTCCTCCTCCTCCTCCTCCTCCTCCTCCTCCTTTTTTTTCCCCCCCTTCTCCTCCTCCTCCTCCTCCTCCTCCTCCTCCTCCTCCTCATCCTCCTCATCATCCTCATCCTTCTCCTCCTCCTCCTGCTTCTCCTCCTTCTCCTCCTCCTCCTCCTCCTCCTTCTCCTCCTGTACGCCCCCCTCGGAACTGGCACGTAAGGGCTGGGGAGAGGTCGGGGGGGCGGGGGGGGGAGGTGTGGGAGGGACCGCCGCACGGGCCTGCCAGAGAGCTCCGACTCTTTTCCCAGCTCGCCTGCTCGCGTCGGCATCAGCCCGAGCTCACGCCAGAGCTCCGACAGGTTCTCCTCCGCCTTCGCCACCGCTCCCCGCTGCTCCTTCGCCGGGCGCGTCTGTCGGGCACAGGCCACGCGGACCGCGAGGCCTGGCACTACACGTGCTCACGGAGGGGCATCGATGCTCTATTTTCCCGTTCGATCAAACGTTCGTGGTCTCGGAGTCGCCCCCGACCGTCTTTGTCCTTTGTCCTTTGTCCTTTGTCCTCTTCTCCCTCCTTCTCTTTGCCCGTTCTCGTCCTCCCCTCCCCTCCCCTCCCGCCTTTCCTTCTGCTGCCCCCGGATGGCGAGTCCTGGAGATGCCCGGGGGAACGAAGGGCGGCAGTCGCGGCCGCCCGGAGCCATTATCGGCACGGTCGCGCACTTCGGGCAGTGGTGGTGGAGGGCCATGGGGGTGGTCGGGACGCAGTTGGTTTTAACACGTTTGTTGCTTCTTTTGCTCGTTGTGAACTTTTCGGGCTTCGGCCAGCCAAATGGACAAAAACAGCATTACAAAACGGAGCCGAACCGAAAATGGCGCGAACGAGAATCCCCACACGGGGGAAGAACAACTGACCCCAACACGGCAGAGCACGTCGACCTTGAACATGGCACAACAAACACCTCCAGCTTTTCTTCACGTCATCGAAAGATCTGGGGCTGCAAGAAAGGGGCCTTTACAAAGGGCCCCGGCCTGGGTCCACGAGGGTGCACGAACGGCTCGCACCTCTTCAGCCCCCCGCCCTCCGCCTCCTCCTCCTCCTCCTTCTCCTCCTCCTCCTCCTCCTCCTCCTCCTCCTCTTCCTCCCCCCCCCCTCCTCCTCCTCCTCCTCCTCCTCCTCCTCCTCCTCCTCCTCCTCCTCCTCCTCCTCCTCGTCGTCCTCCTCCTCCTCCTCCTCCTCCTCCTCCTCCTCCTCCTCCTCCTCCTCCTCCTCCTCCTCCTCCTCCTCCTCCTCCTCCTCCCCCCCCCTCCCGTCGCGCAGCGCCCGCGCACCGAGGCGCCGACTCCTCCGCCTACATCAGGAAGACGGTGGAGCTGAAGGCCGCCCCCCGCCCCCCGCCTTCGGGGGGGGGGGGGGGCCGGGCTTCCGCAGGCTAGAACTTGCTGCTCGCTCGGGCTCGGGGAGGCCGTCAGCGGGCCCCGCGAGGCGGTCAAGAGAAAAACGGTGCAGGAGGGAAGGCAGCTCTTCAGGAAGGGGTCAGGGGGTCAGGGCCCCCCCCCCGAGACTCGAGAACATCGCGTCGTCGAATGCCTTGGGGATGGAGGGTGGAGGGAAAACTCGTTGTCCAGCCGGAGAGGCAACGGTGCATGCGGATCCTCTAATGCCACAGGGTTCTGAAGAAGGTGGGAGGTTAAGGGAGGGGGGGTGAGCGACGAGGGAAGTCGAGGGAAGACGGGTTCGACATTACCATCAGCGGGCCACCCCCAGCGGGGATGTTCAAGATGCCTTCCCGAGCTGAAGATCGGGGATGCCTCGAGCAGGAGACCGCAAAACAGGGAGACTGCACCACCAGGAGAGCCCTCCTCTGCTCCTCGCGATGGTGGTGGTGGTGGTGGTGGTGCAGATGTTCTTCGCGCCTGGAGAACAAGATGGATCAGCATGTTCGCCAGCGTGAGCCCCAAAGAATTGCGCATTCGCGAAGTGCAAGCCACGTCTAGTGCGGCGGCGACGAGGCGGCAGAATGCGGCACAACGCGACGAATCCTCGGCACACCCCCACACAGCCCGCAACAGACGGCAGCGTGGAGAGCATCCTCGACACGCCCCCACTGGCGGCAACCGTCCGCCGGCCACGTGCGGCCACGGGCCACGGGCGGCAGCGTGGCGAGGCCCCGGCACTCCTGGGCGGCAGCGTGGTGGCAACGGGCGGCAGCGGGCCGGAACGTGGCGCACCCTGGGGGCACCCCCACGGGCGGCAGCGGTCAGGAACGTGGCGAACCCGCGGGACGCCCCCACAGGCGGCACGGGCCGGCAACTGGCTGGAACGCGGCGAATCCCCCACGATACCCCCACGGGCGGCAGCGGCCGGCCACGGGCGGCAACTGGCCGGAGCGCGGCGACTCCCCCACGAAACCCCCACGGGCGGCAGCGGCCAGCAACGGGGTTGCAACCGGCCGGACCGTGGCGAATCCTCGGGGCACCCATGGTTTTTTTTGTTCGAAACGCAAGGAGGAGCCCCCATATGTAAGCATTTCTCCAGGAATGAGGAGGGAGGGGGGATGAGAGAGGAAGGCGAAGTCGAGGGAGGCTGATGAGGGTGAGGCTGCGGGGGGGAAGGGGCACATGTAAAGTCGATAGGTGGGACGACGACGTGTTGCTCAGCAAACATGCATGTGCCGGCCCAGGCCCCCTTATGGGCGTCGCGACAAAACATCGAGACGGCCAGCATCTCTTTAATTTGGGCCTCTGATGATGATGATGATGATGATGATGATGATGATGATGATGATGATGATGATGATGATGATGATGATGATGATGATGATGATGATGATGATGATGATGATGATGATGATGATGATGGTGATGATGATGATGATGTGATGTGATGATGATGATGATGAGGGAGGAGGAGGGAAGGAGGAGGAGGATGGTGAGGGGGGGGGGAGGAGGAGAAGGAGGAGCTGTGGCCCCCGCTTCGGGGCCCGGGGCCGTTGGAGGACCACCCCAGGATGATGAAGAGCGGTTTGCGGAGGAGGGGTCGAGAGCTCCAGAGGCTGGCGTCAAGGGAAAGAGTCGGCGTAGGTGGGGCGGGTCTTCGGGGAAAGGGGGAGGAGGAGGAGGAAGAGGAGGAGGAAGAGGAGAAGGAGGAGGTGGAGATGGAGGAGGAAGAGGAGGAGGAGGAGGACTGAAAGGGGCATCCCCGATGATGATGGTGATGATGATGTTGCTGATGATGATGGTGATGATGATGAAGATGAAGATGAAGATGACTATGCATATGAAGATGATGATGATGATGGTGATGATGATGCTGCTGATGATGATGGTGGTGATGATTCTGCTGAGGATGATGCTGCTGATGATGATGGTGCTGATGCTGATGCTGATGCTGATTATGATGATGATGATGGCGATGATGATGATGAAGATGATGAATATGAAGATGAACATGATGAGGATGAAGATGAAGATGAACATCAATATGCATGTAAAGATGATGATGCTGCTGATGATGATGGTGATGATGATGGTGATGATGACTATGATGATGATGCTGAGGATGCTAATGCTAATGATGATGATGATGATGATGATGATGATGATGATGATGATGATGGTGCTGAAGACGATGATGCTGATGCGTCTGATGATGATGAAGATGATGATGAGGATACTGATATTGATGATGTTGATGGTGCTGATGCTGATGTTGCTGCTGATGATTATGTTGATGCCGACGATGATGCTGCTGCTGATGATGATGATGATGATTAGGAGGAGGAGGTGCCCGATGATGCTACTGATGGTGAGGAAGAGGATGAGGATGAGGATGCTGATGATCATGATGGTGATGACGATGCTGCTGCTGATGATGATGATGATTGTGGTGATGCATGATTCTGATGATGATGCTGATGATGATGGATGGTGCTGATGATGATGATGATGATGATGATGCGTCTGGTGATGATGAAAATGCTGATGATGATGATGATACTGATATTGATGATGATGATGATGATGGTGGTGATGCTGATGGTGCTGCTGATGAGTATGTTGATGATGGCGATGATGATGATGCTGCTGCTGATGATGATGATTAGGAGGAGGATGTGCCTGATGATACTACTGATGCTGAGGATGAGGGTGAGAATGAGGATGCAGATGATGATGATGATAATGATGATGACGATGATGCTGATGATGATGATGATGGTGGTAAGTATGATTATGATGATGCTGATGATCATGGTGCTGATGCTGATGCTGACTGCGATGCTGTTGATGACGTGGATGATGCTGATGATGATGAGGATGAGGATGATAATGATAATGGTGATGATGATGATGATGATGATGATGATGATGATGATGATGATGCTGATGATGACGATGATGCTGATGCTGATGCTGATGCTGGTGCTGATGATGATGCTGATGATGATGCTGATGATGATGATGATGATGATGATGATGATGATGATGATGAGGATGAGGATGAGGATGAGGATGAGGATGATCATGATTAGGAGGAGGAGGAAGAAGAAGAGGCATGGTTGGAGAAGGAGGAGGAGGAGGAAGAAGAGGAGGAGGAGGTGGAGGAGGAGAGGGAGCATGAGAAGGAGGAGGTGGAGGAGCAGGGGGAGGAGGAGGAGGAGGAGGAGTAGTTGGAGGAGGAGGAGGAGGAGGAGGAGGAGGAAGGAAGAGGAGGAGGAGGAGGAGGAGGAGGAGGAAGAGGAGGAAGAGGAGGAAGAAGAGTAGGAGGCGGAGGACTAACTGGAGAAGCAGGAGGAGGAATATTGAGAAGGAGGAGGAGGAGGAGGACAAGGAGCCTCCAGTGGTATCTGGATGGCCATTGGAAGGAGGACAATGAGTCTCCTGCACATCCTGATGACAATCATACCCGCTGGAGCTTGGGGTGCCTCTTCATGGCCTCGCTCAGCCTGGCTGAGATATTCAGGCCAGATCCCCGAGCACGGTTGCTTTACGTAGGTATTGAGGAGGAGGAGGAGGTCTTGCGACATGCGACTTGCGGAGCGCTGGGGCCTGTGCAAAACGAAATGTGCTGCGGGCTGTGACGAGCAGGCTCGGTCAGTCCAAGCTTCAGAGACCCTGCGAGGCGTGAAACCCCCATATCCCAAAACGACTCCACACCAGCACCCTGCCGATGGGAAGGGCCCATTCAGCCCCCAACGGCAACCCCCGTGCCGCAGCATCCTTAACAAAATGAATGCGTCTCCGATCCGTTCTGCGACACCCCCCTCGATCGTCCGCCTCCTGGGTAGGCTCTTCGGCCCAGCCCTTGGAACGGGGGCTGCGCCTCAGAGATCCGTTCACCCTCCCCCGCCGCCCCCGCCCAAGCTCCCCCGCCGCCCCCGCCCGTTCCCCCCCTTCCCGTCGAGACCAAGGCGTCACAGCTTGCGGCAAGAGGCGCCGTCGTCCCACGCGCCAGCAGCGCCTGCAGGCGGACGCTGGAAGCCAAAGCAGGAGGCAGAGACGACGCGTTCACGCTGCCACGTCTGGGCGGTCGAGCATGCGCTGCACCCCGGACTCGAGCGCCCCCCTGGGCGCGGTCCCTGCGAGCTCCTCGGCCCCGACCTCCTGAAGCACTGCCTCGAGGAGCTTCGTGAGCTTCTGAGCTGGCGCGTCCACCCCCACGCGGAGCTGGAACTTCACTTTCCCCTCCATTTTTCCCAGCCATCCTGTGGTGTTAGGTCCTCGTTTTGAAGAGACAGCGCCCCACGTCCCTCACTCACTCCTCCTCCCCCTCCTCCCTCCTCCCCCTCCGCGTCAGCCACACCCACTTCGGCACACTCCTCACACGCTTCGTGGCCCCATAAGGAGCTCCACCGAGGGCCCCAGTGGCTGCGTTCGCATGGCGGCACCGCGCCCATTTCGGCACACCCTTCACACGCTTCGTGGCCCCATAGGGAGCTCCACCGAGGGCCCCAGTGGCTGCGTTCGCATGGCGGCACCGCGTCATTTCGGCACACCCCTCACACGTTTCGTGGCCCCATAACGAGCTCCACCGAGGGTTCCAGCGGCTGCGTTCGCATGGCGGCACCGCGCCCATTTCGGCACACCCCTCACACGTTTCGTGGCCCCATAGGGAGCTCCACCGAGGGCCCCAGCGGCTGCGTTCGCATGGCGGCACCGCGCCCATTTCGGCACACCTCTCACACGTTTCGTGGCCCCATAGGGAGTTCCCTCTCATTCGTTCAACCTGCTCTGCGGTACTCGTAACTGCATATGGTTGGGTCCATCGCCAGGATAATTTTTGACATGGCTTCTTTCGGAGCCTTGAAAGAAAAAGTGGCGCACGTAGTACAGCTGAGATATTCGGGCCAGATTCCCGAGCACGTTCGCTTTACGTAGGTGTTGAGGAGGAGGAGGAGGAGGAGGAGGAGGAGGAGGGGAGTGAGGAGGAGGAGGGGCAGAGGAGGAGGAGGTGGAGGGGGAGGAGAAGTGGGAGGAGGAGGAGGGGAGGAGGGAGGAGGATAGGAGAAGAAGGAGGAGGAGGAGGAGGAGGAGGAGGAGGAGGAGGAGGATAATCAGGAGCACAGGGAGGAGGCCACCCGCCTGGCCGCGCGAAACCAGCGGGGTGGGGAGGGCGCCCTCCCTCCGCCGCCAGCAGGGTGTGGGCGGAGCAGCCGCCCCACGCCGCCCTGCCGCAAGAGCAGATCGATCGGCGTCGGGGGGCTCGCTCCGATCGATCTGCTCCGCCGATCGAGCTCCGACGATCGATCGTCCTCCGCCCATTCTGCTCGATTGCTCGATCGGATCTTCGATCCATGGAACGGTCGATTCATCCACCGAGCTCTGCCAATTGATCTCCACGATCTGATCGGGCATCGATCGGCTGGAGCAGATGTCGACCGGGCTCCGGCGCCAGGCTGCCAAACGCCTTGAGGCCGAGGAGATTAACGAGTTCTACGAGGGAAGGACCCCGCCTACGCCCAACGTCGTGATCGTCGTCGTCGCCACCGCAGTCGCCACCGCCGCCGCTGCTGCTGTTGCCGCCGCGGCCGTCGCCGCTGCCGCTGCCGCCGCCGCCGTCGCCGCCGCGGCCGTCGCCGCCGTCGCAACCGCGGCCGTTGCCTTCACTGCCGCCGCCGTCGCCGCCGCGGCCGCCGCCGCGGCTGCCGCCGCGGCCGCATGCCGCCGCATGCCGCCGCCGCCGTCGTCACCGCCACAGCAGCCGCCGTCGTCGTCTTCGTCGTGAAAGGGGGGAGGAGGAGGTTGCTGGAGGCTATTGGGTGGGGAGTCATCCCAGGGGTCCAGGGGACGCGGCTGCAGCAGTGCTGGAAAGCGCCTACTTCCTCGCGAGTCAGCGTCGAGCCCGCTGCGCCGCTTCTGCGAGCCGAGGCCGCGAGGATGTGCCTTTCCTTGCCGGCGGCGTGCTCTCACACCGCGCCTCCCTGCTGGCGGCTGCGGTGCGTTCGCGCCACGCTGGGGCGGCGGCGGTCCCCTGCGCGGGCATGCCAAAGTTGGTTGAAGCCCCAGCAGTGGTTCAGACTCGTTGGATGTCGGACGGCCTGCGCTGTCTGAGCGCCAGTCTCTGTCCTCTTCTCGGGCGACGCTGACGGCCCGTGACACTCTGCACGGCGCGGCGGCTCAGTTTTCCAAGTGCTACACGACGCCAATTTCGTTTCAATGACGGTCTAGAAATTCAATCATTCATGCTAATTGCGACCTGGACTCGTCGAGCAGCTCACTGCCCATTGTTCCCAGGCCTCAGACGTCTTGCTCATTCGAGAACTTGGGACCCCAGAGGTCTGCAACTTCGCCGGGACCCATTTCTCGGCCCAAGCCGTTTCTCTGAATTGCCCTAGGGCCCAGTCAGGGTCCTCGGAGGCGGAACGTAAGTACAAAACTGCTCTTCATCCCCCTCTTCCCCCTCCTTTTGCCCGAGTCCAGGACCATCGCGGAGTTTTGCCTCCGTTGCCCAGCCCCGTGCAAGACGTTCAACAGCTTCCGTGGACTGAACATCGGCTACGCTGCCGGGACACGTTCCGTGCACATTATATGCTTGGCGTTATCATCCCCCTCTGCTTGCCCTTTCTTCTCGTTCTTTGTTTTCTCTTCCCTCTCTTCGAATAGTCGGTCTGAGAGAACAAGAGATCTTGGGCAAAACGCTCACCGCCGCGATTTCTCCACCACGAGAGGCGGAGGTCTGGGTGCACGGTGTGTCTCGAGCTTGCCGCGCCCCTGCAGAAAAGGCCACCGCACAGAGGTGCGGCGGAGGGGCGGCCAACCCCGCGCCTGTCCTCCTCTTCCTCCTCCTCCTCCTCCTCCTCCTCCTCCTCTTCCTCCTCCTCCTCCTCCTCCTTCCTCCTCCTCTCCTTCCCCTCCTCCTCCTCTCCTCCTCCTCCTCCTCCTCCTTCTCCTTCGCCTCCCCTTCCCCTCCTCCCCCCTCCTCCTCCCTCCTCCTCCTCCTCCTCCTCCTCCCTCCTCCTCCTCCTCCTCCTCCCACTCTCCTCATCCTACCTCATCCTCTATCCCCTCCCCCCTCCTCCTCCCCTCCTCCCCTTCTCCTCCTCTCCTCCTCCTCCTCCTCCTCCTCCTCCTCCTCCTCCTCCTCCTCCTCATCCTCATCCTCATCCTTATCCTCATCCTCATCCTCATCCTCATCCTCCGCCTCCTTCTCTTCCTCCTCACCCCGAACCCCTGCTTACAGGGAGCGCAAGACAGGCAGACCTCCGAGGTCCTCGGAGTAGTTACGGTCGGACCGAGGCATGAATTCCGAGGTCGGTTCGGGGAGGGTGCCCTGCTGTTCTTCTATGTTGTTGGGCGTTCACGTGCATGCTGCATCCTGGAGGAGGGTGCCCTCGAGTGCTCTTCAGTTTGGCCAGCGGAACGGGGGCGGAGACAGAGCCATGTGGAGGGCGGCGGCACACTACACTCGCATGGGCCAGGGGCCAGGGGAGCGGAGCGGAGCGGATCGGCCCATGCCCGGCCTTCGAGGTGTGGAGTTTTGTGCTTGCGCACTTGCGCTGCTTCCTCGGGGCAAGTGTGGGCCTCCGGGGTTCCGTTTTCGCGTCCCCCCGCCCCCCCGGAGCCATCAAACGTGGATATATATATATATATATATATATGTATATGTATATAAACACACGTATATATAAACATAGAAATATGTATGTTTATAGTTATGTATATATGTACAAATATGTATACACATATGTATATAAGTCTGGAGGGCTGCAGCCATGGCGCTGAAGTGAGGACCACTTGGGGCCCAGGAGGAGTTCTGGTTTTCGAGACGTTCCTTGTATCCAGGTCGGGGAACCTGTTCGTGGCCGAGGCTTGCCACTGCCAGAAAAGCGCTTTCGTTCCTTAATTGGCATTCCGTATGATAGCACGGCGACCGTATAGTTTAGCACCCTGGAAAGTCGACCCCCCCCCCCCCCCGGGAAAGGGGCCGAGGGGCCGATGGCACTGGGGACCCCGTGATGCAAAGCCACCGCGTCGGATGTGATGTCTGGCAGGGCTGGGGGGAGAGCAGCTCCCGAGCCGGACCGCGCCATGAGGGCAGCACGGCCCGAATCGGGGCGAAGCGGCTGGTCGTGTTTTTTCAAGGCGCCTGTGTCCGAGGGCAGGCCGGGGTCAGCGATGGTGGCGTCAACCTCGCCTCGCATGGGCCGGCGGGGCAGCGTCTGCCCAGGACGAGTCGTCGTTCTTGTGATGCGAGGGGGATCGTTCGTACCATGCGGTGGGCTGCTCTTACGACAGCTGTTCTCTGGACGGCGTGCTTCGTTCCTGTGGTACGTTCTGCCCCCCCCCCCCCCCCCCCCCTGTGAGGAGTTTAAGAATGCGAGAAACAGGAGGGGAGGAGGAGGAGAAGGAGGAGGAGAAGGAGAGGAGGAAGGAAAAGGAGGAGGGGGGAGGAGGAGGAGGAACAGGAGGAGGAGGAGGAGAGAGGGGAGAAGGAGAAGAGGAGAAGGAGGAGGAGGAAGAGGAGGAGGAAGAGGAGAGAGAGGTGAGGAGGAGGAGGAGGGGAGAAGGGAGGATGAGGAAGAGGAGCAAGAGGAGGAGGAGGAGGAGGGGAAGGAGGGGCAGGAGGAGGAGGAGGAGGGGGATGAGGAGGAGGAGAAAGAGGACGAGGGGGAGGCAGAAGAGGAGGAGGAGGAGGAGGAGGAGGAGGAGGAGGAGGAGGAGGAGGAGGATGAGGAGGAGGAGGAGGAGACCCTCCCTGTGGGATGGCGACTCCTGACTCGGATTGGGCCTCCATGCCGCGGGGCGCCGCCCTCCCTCCGAGGAACGAGGTGCGGATCGAGCAGAAGATCAACAGGCCTTCTTTCCTGTCCTCCCCTCCCCATGCGGCGTGTTTCAGAGGGGGCCGTGCCTTCGAGGGCCGAAGGACTGAACATCTCTTCCGCGGCGGAAGGCGGCGGAAGGCCGGCGGAATGCAGCGGAAGTAAAACGGCGGCGGCTCCAGCAGTGGTAGCCGGCGGAAGCTCGGCGGAAGCTCGGCGGAAGCAAAAGTCGACTACCAAGAGATGACAACATTTTTGGGTTCAGGATTTCTGGAGTAGGCCATGTGTCGGGAGCTCAGTTGCCTTGATACGCCCGCTTTGAAACGCAACACGTACCGTGTTCAGAGCGTCTGTGTCAACACGCCTCGTCTTGGCTCAGCGTGCTGGCCCACGTCTTGGCGAGCGTGTCGCGCCAAACATACGTCTTCAATATCCGTGCTGAGCTCCGTGTCAACGCGCTACGTGTCGCGTGTTGCGTGTCGGGGCAGCTAACGTCGGGAGAGACCTGGGGCCTCCCAACTGGAGTCCGAGTAGAGGGGGTCGGAGGATCGCGCCGCATCGCCGATGCATCGGCGACGCGGCCCGATGTGGAGCCCGATTCTCTCCGCGCCGGCGGCGCCGACGCATCGCCGACGTGGCCGATGCCTCGGCGACGTCTCGGCGGTGCGGCGCAGTCCTCCGACCCCATCCGCTCGGACCTCACACGGGAGGCCTCCTCCGAGAAGCGCGGAGCCCCTGCCCCAGGAGGCCGCCAGGCCACGAGCTTGCCAGGCCACCCGCGGCGGTGTGTTGGCGGTGCGGCGCAGTCCTCCGACCCCATCCGCTCGGACCTCCACACGGGAGGCCTCCTCCGAGAGAAGCGCGGAGCCCTTTGCGCCGCGAGTTTTCGCCAGGCCCCCCCGCGGCGGCACGCTCAGGCCACGGAAGTCGGGCTGCGCGCGCGCCGCGGCCTGGGCCCCGACGCCGGGGCGTTTCTGCGCGCGAGGGCGCGCGCAGGAGGATGACCCCGCGCGGCGCGCACCGCCCTGGGCGCAGTGCGCGAAGCAGTGGCGAGGCGTCCTGGCTCGCCTATAGCCCTGCCAAGCAATGTTCCTAAGAACCTCTCGTGGTTTCCACGAACTGTTCTCAGAATGTTTCTGGCGGAGGCTGTCTTGTTTTTTAACACATCGGGCATGTGTTCTAAGAACACTGCTTCTGTTCTGAGGGCACCTTTGAATTCTCAGAGCATTTCGTGGTAGGACTATAGGAATGCCGGGACGGTCGGTCCCTGCTCGACAGTGCGCGAAGCTGGGTGGCCTGGGTCGGCTGACCGGCAGCTCGGGCTGCCGCCTGGCCCTCTGGTCCTCCTCCTACCCTCGGGGGAGGCAAAGAAGGGGGTGATGACTAGAGGGGGGGGGGGGAATTTCATGGCGACGGCCATGATATTTCCTCAGATCTCATGGCGCCTCTTCTTGCTCCACGTCCCTGGCCCCCCCGCTGGGCCGCGCACATGCCGCCGGTCATGATTTGCACCCTCCCTTCTTGGACACACCCCCTTGGCCGCTCCCGATACCCTTGGGAAACGGACAATGACATAAACATAAAAGCTCGGAGGTCCGCGCGGATTTCTCGGATCCGCGCTGGACCCCCCTCTCCGGCGCGCGGAGCGCGCTGCTGGTCCTCCTCCTACTCCCAGCGGCCCCCCAGGGGGCCTCAAGTTGCGCCCATGGAGCATCCCGCGGAGTGAGGCCTTCCGTGTATCGAACCGTTCCCTCGCCTCCTTGGGCACTTTCAGGCACGCAACCGTCACCAGTTTCGTTGGCTTGCCAAGGGTCCAGCAGAGCGACGTGCGCATTGATGTGTTACCCTCGCCACCCTGGGTGCTGCGAGGCGCGCAACTGTGCCATGAACCCCATTCGGCCACGCGAAGAGGGGGGTCGGGGGAGGGGGGGAGGCTTCTTAGAAACACTCCTGCTTCTTAGAAGGCGCGGGCCTTCTCTATAGATGTAAGGCTGGGGCCTCCTAAGAAGCAGGGTGCTTCTAAGAAGCCTACCCCCTACCCCCCCTACCCCTACCCTCCTCTGCGTGCCGCCAACGTATGGGGGTCTAGCGGAGCGACGTTCTGCGCGAGATTGAAGCATTACCCTCGCCCCCCCTGGGCGCTTTCAACCGCGCAATGGTATCCACCTCCGTGGGCTGCTGAGAGAGGGTCCACGGAATGGCGTCACACGCCAACGTATCACCCGGGCGTCCACCTGGGCGTTGCCCGCTGCGCAACTGTCGCGCAGTTTGTTCGATATTTGAGGGGAAGTGCAGCGGCGTGGCGCCCTGCGCAGACCTAAGCTGTCCCCTGCCTGGTTGCTGCCAGCTGCGCGAAACTGCTTGCACTCTATAGAGCTCCGTGGAGGTCCGCTCCCTGTGCGCTGTCAGGCAAGGCCACTGGTGCGACGTGTTTGTGACGATGTGGGGGGGGGGAGAGATCCAGCGGGGTGACGTCTCGCGTGGATGTAAGTAGTACCCTCGCCTTTTCTGGGCGCTTGCAACAGAAGAGTTGTTTCCACTTCCGTGAGCTCCTGGGATGTTTCTCGAAGTGACGGCTTACGAGATGTATTACCCTCGCCCGCCTGGGTTCTGCCTGCTGCGCTGTTGTCGCAGTTATCGCTCACTGCTGGGAAGTCCAGCGGAGGGACACCTTTCGCAGACCCAGACTAGACATCCCCTGCCTGGTTGTTGCCAGCTGCGCAAACGCTGGCACGTTCGTGAGCTCCTGGGGTGTCTGGTCCAGTGACGTCTTACGCGGATCAGAACTATCGAGACGACTGCGGCATATCCGCCTATGTGCCGGCGACGCACTCGGTGTAGCGATCCTTCGAGTACTGCCCAGAGCGCTATCACCCGTAGAACATCCTTTGTCCATTGCTTGAGGTTTCTCATGGGGCTTACTTGGACCGTCTTAGGGCTGTCTTGGGCTGCTGTTGAACAGTCATACGGGGCCCTCTTTGGTCGTCTTGGGACTTTCTTGGACCGTCTTGGGGCCATTTGGGCTGCCTGGGAGGTCTTATGGGCCCGTCTTGTGACCTTCTTGGGCCGTCTTGGGTATCCCCGCAGGGCCCTCTTTGGTCACAGTGGGGTCTTCTCGAGGTCGTCTTGGGCCTAACGCAAAACGCGTGAGCTTTCATTTCTCCAAATCTTCTATCGTTTGTCCTGCCTTGTAGTCCTGTCTTCTCCCTTCCCGGCTTCCCGGCGCATTCGCCACTCAAGGACCGCGCGGAGGGTGAGGGGGGGTCTTTCTGTGACAGACTCATCCCAAGAAAAGGGGAAACTTGTCCGTCACAGAGGGGGACGCTCAACCTACCCATAATGTAATACTTAGGTGGTTAATATGTTGTTCCATCTGGTTACCGATTACGGCATCGCGCGGCATCGCGACCAGACCCGACATACAAATGTCTTACCATGGAAGTGTCGGGAGCACGCGCAAGCAGCTATGAGGGGGGACGAGGACGAGTGTCTCAAGGAACGTTTTGAAAGTCCACAGCAAATATGCAACATACGATTGAGAAGAGTATGGTTGCTTCTTCACCCCATGCTTGACAATGTGACCGCGAGTTTTTGGCACGATGCCGCTGAAGCCGCTGAAAGTGTTTCCACGTGGACGTCCAAGCGCACCGCATCCCTATGTAGCATCAGTGCTGTGGTTTCTGACAGTTGGACGAGATGGAGGCCACGCTGGGGGGCGCTCCCTCGATGGAACGTGCCCCGAGGTTCGAGCAGCTGAAGCCGAAGGCCGCCGCCGTGGGCCCCTCGGCGGCGAACCACATCAAGAAGGCGCCCCTGCCAGCGTGTCCCCCGCCCTCCCTCCCCCGCCCCCCCCCGGCCCCCGTCCTCTTCCTTCTTCTCCTGCTCCTGTTCCTCCTGCTTCTCCTCCTCCTCCTGCTCCTCCTCCTGCTCCTCCTCCTCTCCTGCTCCTCCTCTCCTCCGCCTCCTCCTCCTCCTCCTCCTCCTCCTCCTCCTCCTCCTCCTCCTCCTCCTCCTCCTCCTCCTCCAGTGGGGTGGGCGATGTCGAGCATGTGCCGACCCTGGGCTGCGTCCAGCGGGCTTCGGCCAGCCTCGGCCCGGCTCAGGAGCGCCGGGCGCGGCTGAGGAGCGCCGGGCATGGGAGCTTCCCCTCTCCTCCTCCTCGCTCTCCCCCCGTCCCCCTCTCCTCCCCCCTCGCTTCCTGCTCGCATCGCACTCCGCCCTGGGTCTCTGGGACGGGTCTCGCCCTCGGCGTCGGCGGTTTCTCGGAGAGTCAGGGCTCTGTTTTCGGACGGCTCCCTGCTCCATCGCTCGCTCGCTCGCTCGTCCCCTCGCCCCCGCCCCCTCCCCACGCCGTGCCCTCCGTCGGGCCTCGCACCAGCCTGGCCAGAGGCGGCCCCTGCGCTTGCGCCCTGCCGCGGGCAGGCACGCGCTGCGGACCGCGGCTGGTCGGCCTCGCCGGCGGGCACGGCCGGCCGGCGGGGGGGCCCTCGTCAGGGGCAGCGGCAGGGGGGGGGATGGGCACGGGGGGGGACGCAGCGACCCCCAACCGCCCAGCGGTCGCCCAGTGGTCGCCGGCGGGTGCCCGACAGCCCCCGACCTGCCCGGGGCGTGCTGCTGCAGTTGCTGGCTGCGGGGGCGGAGGGGCGTCCGCACGCGACGAGGCGTGTCCACCTCCCTCGCGGTCCCACGGCTGCGGGATCCCACGGATGCGCCAGCGCGCGCGGAGGTGGAGGGGCGGGAGGGCGCTCCGAGGGGGGAGGGGGGGCTCCTCGAGGTTCCAGGACGTAGGGGAGCGCTTCGAGGGGGGGGGGAGGGCGGGCACGGGGGGAGGGGGGGGCTCCGAGGTGGCAGCAGACGGGCAGCGAGGAGGAAGGCAGAGGAAAGGGGTAGGGGATCGCGGGGACGCGGAGGATCAGGGGGGGGGGCTCCGAGTGGAGCTCTAGGGGGTTCGAGGTCCCCGCTCGCGGGGGAGCGCGAGGAGGCGCAGGCGGTGGAAGGGGCAGCGGGCGGCGGAAGATGGAGGCCCGGGGGGACTGGGCTCAGAGCAGGAGGAGGCGGGGGAAGCGGATCTCGAGAAGGGGCGAGCTTTCATGTTCAAGCAACTCGGACCGAAGTCGAAGAGCCTCGCTGCGGGAGGGGGACGAGGAGGGAAGACGAGGACGGGGAGGGAGGAGGGAGGAGGGCGAGGAGGGAAGATGAGGACGGGGAGGGAGGAGCTTCCTCCCTCTCCTTCTCCCTCTCCCTTCGCGCCTCCTTCGGGCAAGAAGTCAGTGATGCTTCTCGAATGTATTCTCAGCATTGCGTGCGAGCGAGTGAGATGGTCCTCCTCCTCCTCCTCCTCCTCCTCCTACTCCTCCTCTTCCTCCCTTTCTCCTCCTCCTCCTCCTCCCTCCTCCTCCTCCTTCTCATCCTCCCTTTCTCCTCCTTCTCCTCCTCCTCCTCATCCTCCTTCTCCTTCTCCCTCCTCCTCCCTCCTCTGCATCGTCTTCCTTGAGGTCAGCTGCGGTTCGCGTTTGGCCAGCTTGTGTTTCGCGAACCCTCCTAAGACCAGGCCGGTGTGAGCGCAATTGTTGGAATTTCCGTTGGCGCTGCCGTAGATCCCAGCAAGCAGCACGCAATCGATGGGTTGCGCCATAAGTTGCGCCATCGATAACTATGTTGTGACATCGATTGGACGCGCCATGGATTACGCGATTCACGGAATGCGCCATTGGCTCCATGGGTTGCCCGATCTATGGGTTGCGGCATGGATTGCGCCATCCATAGAGTGCGCTATGAGATGTGTGTGCCGCAGGTTGCGTCATCCTCGCGGTGTGCCATCAGTTGCGCTCCCAGCGGCTGGAACTCAAACGGCCTGCCATTCGTTGCGTCATAGGTCGCGCACACTGCGGCCGAGGATAGCATGGACTGCTATTGGCTATGCCATCATGGATCGCGCACCGGGGGGGCCGAAACTAAAACGGCTTGATGTTGTTTATGGCAGAGGTTGCCCCCTTCGGTTGCCGGAGCTCAAACGGCCGCCGGACGGGTGCGGCCAGTCCAGCTCAGCGCACTTCGCGTGTGACAAGAGTTCGGGCTGCGCCCGGTAACACATGAGGCGTTCCAAAAAGAGCTTTGCCTTCGAGGATCGACGGAGTTGTCTTCGGCGGAAGGCGGCGGAAGGACGGCGGAAGTAAAACGAGGTCGCCTCCGCCAGCTTCCGCCGGCGAAAGCAGGCGGAAGCTCGGCGGAGGGCGGCGGAAGGACAGGCTGCGCCCCCAAGAGGTGAAAACGTGCTTGTGTTCAGGGTTTCCGAAATCCGCCACATATCCCGGAGCCTCGACCGCCTCGATCTTTGAGCCTCCCCCTCCCCCCCGACGGAGGCGGGGCGAGGGAGGGAGTGCCCGGCCCGTTCGCCCCTGAGGTGCCCTCGTTCATCCGGACGAAGAGCAAGGAGAGCAACGCCGCCGACGAGGAGGCGCCGAGTGGGGAGGAGGCGGAGGCGCACGTCACGAGGCTCAGCCCTGGCGAGGGCGCCGAGTGGCGCCGGTGCCGGGCGCATGCCATGGGGGTCGGCCCCGACGAGGGTCAGCAGTGCCCTCTGCCCCCCGTCTGGCTGGCCCGCCAGGGTCACGTTGGCCGTGTGTCAGGGAGGGAGAAAACACACAGACACAAGTAATCGTCGATCCCCAGGAAAAGATATGAAAATACGGGAAGTGGGGGGGGAAGACGAACACCCAATATATACATATATATATACATATCGTATATTTATACATATAGGGAATCCTGGGATTTGTGTGTATTTATGTGTGTGTGTGCCCTGGGCCCCTTCATGGGCAGTTCCAGAACGAGCCACGCCTTCGAGGATCGACGGAGATGCCATCTCCTTCGGTGATCCTCAGGACGTGACTTTTCCCGATGCATGCTCCCCCCGCTCAGCACACGTCGGCCCATCGGTGCACCGCCCACGTCGTACCTGCAGGCTTCGGGGGACGAGCACACGTTGGCGCCAACAAGCGCTCTGAGGATCATCGGCTCTTCCCCGGCGGAAGCCGGCGGCCGCTGTCGGCTCTCGCCGGGCATCGCACCCGCTTTCCTCGGTGCCCGCCGCGGGCGTGCCAGCTCGACGTCGAGGTTCCTCCCTCGGGCAGCCAGCTTCTCCCGCGCGGGCCGCTTTCTCTGCTGACGGCCCCGGGGCCTGGCTCGATGAGCCTGTTTTCCACCACCACCATAAGTTGGAGGGGGGATAAGAGGAGGAGGGCGAGGAGGAGGAGGAGGAGGACGGAGAGGAGGAGGAGGAGGAAGAGGAGGAGGAGGAGGAGGAGGAGGAGGAGGAGGAGGACGAAGAGGAGGAGGAGGAGGAGGAGAAGGAGGAGGAGGAGGAGAGGGAGGAGGAGGACCCCCCCCTCCAACGTATGGTGGTGGTGGTGGAAAACACGCCCATCGTGGCTCACGGTCGGGCGCGTTTGCCTGGCGTGTCGCGCCGCCGGCTCTGGGCCGCCACGCGTCGGCGCGGCACGCGACCCGCTTCCCGGTGCCCGAGCGTCCGCGCCTCGCGCGGTTTCCCAGCCTCCCGCCCCCCAAAGCGGAGCGACGCGCTGTCGCCCCGCAGTGCAGGCACGGTGCTTCGCCGGGGCCGCCGCCGCGCCGCGCGCCGCGCGCAGCAACAGCTCCTGAGCGCAGGGACCCCCAGAGGCCGAGGATGGGCGAGGCAAGCCTCCCGTTCATCGCTATTCTTATCATCATCATCATCATCATCATCATCATCATCATCATCATCATCATCATCATCATCATCATCATCATCATCATCATCATCATATTCATCAGCAGCAGCAGCATCATCATCATCGTCATCATCGTCATCGTCATCGTCATCGTCATCGTCGTCATCATCATCATCACCACCACCATGATCATCATGTGGGAGAGTGAGGCTCAGGGGGAAGAGTGGGTGTTTCGTCGTTGCGATTCGATCCGCTGGTCGCCGAGCCTCCGCGTACGGCCTATTAGACGTGGTATCAATCGAGGTCCCGATCATCATCATCATCATCATCATCATCATCATCATCATCATCATCATCATCATCATCATCATCATCATCCTCATCCTCATCCTCATCCTCAGCATCATCATCATTATCAGCATCAGCATCATCATCAGCATCAGCATAATCATCAGCAACAGCAGCAGTCGCATCATCATCACCACCATCATCAGTATCAGCATCATCATCAGTATCAGCATCAGCATCATCATCATCATCATCATCATCATCATCATCATCATCATTATCATCATTATCGTCATCGTCATCAGCAGGAGCATGAGCATCAGCATCAGCATCAGCATCAGCACACTTATCATCAGCAGCATCAGTATCGTCATCAGCATAAGCATCAGCGTCAGCGTCAGCATCTTCATGATCACCATCATCAGCAGCATCATCAGCATCATCAGCACGAGCATCAGCATTTGCATCACCATCACAACCATCTGTAGACAGTTCGGCTCAAGACCATGATGGCGAAATATCCACTGCCTATGCGGGGTCGGCTCGCTTCCAGCAGGTTTCGACAGCAGTATTCCTCCCAGTCCTTCATGTCCAAGTCCTGGTCCGCCCCAAGTAGTTCATATTCAAGTCCTGCTCTGCCCCAAGACCTTCGATATTCAAGTCTTGGTCCTCCCCAGACATTCTTGCTCAAGTCCCGGTCCGCCCCAGGCACAGCCGCTCCCACGTCCTGGTCCGCCCCCGGCCGCTCTCGTCAGGATTTGTTCGCAAGTCCCCCAGCAGGCCCCGTGGTGCGCGGAGCTCGAAGAGAGCCCGCGGCGCCACGACGCGCTCCAGCGCCATCGCGCAGGGACCTCTGGCCTCCGCCATGCTGGCGCGACCCGCAGACCGTGCCGCCCGGTTCCTGCGCGACCGCGCGCGCTCTCCCGCACCGCCGATGAGGCTGCCTCTGCCCCTCAGGCGGACGGCTGCGGCCGGGGCCCCCACGCCAGCCGCCGCGCCGGCCGCAGAGAGAGCTCCGGGAGCGGCCGCGGCTCCATGGGGGCGCGCAGGCCTGCTCCCCCGGCCCGCGGGCTGCAAGGGCGAGCGCGCTCCCGGCATCGGGGGCCCAGGGTCCCACCCCTCGACCCCCACTGGCAGGCGATGGCTTGGCATCGCTCGGAGGTGTGCATGTTTCCTTCGGCGAGGACCATCGAGGAGCATCCTTGATCATCTGGCGAGGAAGCCACGCACGGGACCGAGAAAAGCACAGGGAATGGACGTCCGAGCGATGGCCAGATGGGGGTTACACTGGCGCAGACTCGCCCCGCCGTCGTCTGGTCGGCAGTGAAGACGCTCGCGGGAGGTTGGATCATCACTCGCACGATGCACATTTTTGGCCAGCTGGGATGCGTCTTTGGATGCGAGGGTGGACCTGATGCGATCGCCCACTACCTCTCCCGCTCCCGCCTGCTCCACCTCGTCGCCTTACCTCCCTCCTCCCCGCCCCTCCTCTGCGATCATCCGTCGCGGCCTTGGTGGGGAAACTGGCTGCGCTCTGGCTGTTGACCCTCGCTTTCAAACTTTGCCACGACCTTCGCGCGCGCATTCCTGGCGCGCCCATGTCATATCCTGGGCGCATCGAAGTGTTCGCAGCAGCTGCCCGCTCTCTCGAGGTGCAAAAAAGAGTGTAGTTCCGCCCAGCCACGCGCGATCACAGCCACAACCACCACCATCACCACCGTCATCATCGTTGCCATCATAAACATCATCGTCATCACCATCGTCGACACCATGGCCATCAATACCATTGCCGCCGTCGCCATCATCATCTTCATCTTCATCTTCATCATCATCATCATCATCATCATCATCATCATCATCATCCTCATCATCATCATCATCATCAGCATCATCACCATCACCATCACCATCTCCATCACCATCACCATCATCATCACCATCATCATCATCAGCATCAGCATCAGCATCAACAGCAGCAACATTATAATCAACGTCCGTCGCCATTTTGGCTCATGTTTCCGTGGGCCCCCTGCTGCTGGACCTTGCTCTTCGGCACGGCGTTCGCGAGGGCCCTGGGAGGGCGCGGCTCATGGCTCGCGGGGTGATGGCTGCGGGAGGCACCCCCGGAGGGCGCCGTCGTTCGCTTGTCCGCTGTGGCGTAGTGAAGCGCGCAGCGCGGGCGGCCGCAGATCGACCGCAGCGCCTGTCCGCAGTGCTGCTCTCCGTGCGTTGGCGCGCGGCGATCCCCGGGTGAGGCGTCAGGCTCGCTCGCCGAGGGCCGCGATGCCGCGCAGCGCGTCCGCGCGCTCAGACCTGCTCTAGCTGGAAGGGCGGCCTCCCAGCTGGCTGGAGACGCTCCGGCGGAGCGTGGCGCTCCACGCCAGCGCCGAGGGCGTCGCCTCCTCGACTGCCGGGGGCCTCCGCGCTGCGCCGCGTGCAGAGCCGGCCGCGGCTCGGGGCGCGCCCTGGAGCGGCACGGAGCGGTCTGCGCGCCGGCGCTGCGGAGCTCGCACCAGGTGCGGTGCGCTGGGAGGCGTTGTCCGAGGCCCCCGCCCCCCTAGGGCGCCAGGCCTCGCCCGGGCAGGGCGGCACGTGGTGCAGCTGCGGTTCCGTCGTTGTGTCCTGTGCGGAGACGGGCCCGGCGGGCGGGCGCGCTGAAGGGGCTGACGGGCCAGCGTGCCGCCGGCGTCAGGTCTCCCTCTGGCGGGGTGGCCCCCTCCGCGGAGGGCGGCCTTGGGGAGGGGGAGGCGGGCGCCAGCTGCTGAGGCGAGGTCCCCATCGCCCGACTCGAGCGGTGACTAGGTCGCTCCCGCAGTCGCTGCTACTGGAGGGCCTTCTGCTGCAGTCGAGGTTTCTGGAGTTCCCGCAGCTGGCCAGCTTGTTTTTTGTCCTCGTCGAGGTCGATCTTCAGCCAGCGGGTGCAGCCGTCGAGGGCGCCAGCGCGCACCTCGACGTGCTCCGCGGTGATGCGGCCGAGCTTCAGTAGCCGCTCCTTGCTTTGCTGTGGCTCCTTGCAGTTTGGCTCGGGCGCTGCCGCGTACTCTGCCCAGGCCCAGAGGTGATTCTGAGCAGAGCCGCCCGAGGCTGAGGGCTTCAGGCATGCCTCTGAAATTGGCCGTGGCCGATTTAGTTGGTGCCCCCCGCCTGCATTGTGTTGATCTTCGCTTGTGCTATTTGTCGATGGCACGGTTTGCCGCTGCGTGCGAGGCGCCTCGGGAGGCGGTCCGGGCTTGGCCAGCTGTCGAGGCTCATCTCCAGACTGTCTGTGTTGCATGTGGGTCATCATCATCACCATCATCACCATTATGATCACCATCACGACAACAATCATCCTCGCCCCGTTACCAACATTGTCAGCATCATTCATCCTCGCCAGCATCATTCATCACCTCCACCACCATCACCATCATCATCCCGTTACCGGCATCATAACCACCGTTATCATTTACCACCGCCGCCACCATCATCGTCATCAGGTGGGAGGGTGAGGCTAAGGGTTACGGGTGGGTATTTCGTCGTTTCGCGTCGGCCCGTTGCTCGCCCTGCCTCCGCCTACGGCCCGCTAGACGCAGTGAAAATCGAGGCCCCGATTATTAACATCACGTCACCATAATCACCACCACCGTCATCATCACCACCACCCTCATCATCTTCCCGTTACCGACATCATCATTACCACCACGATCACCGTCATCAACATCACCGTCATCAGCATCACCGCCGTCACAACCACAATCAGCATCATCACCATCATCCTCGCCATCGCCACCGTCATCGTCATCGTCGCCGTCATTGCTGACATCATCACCTTCACCACCATCCTCACAGTCACCGTGCTACCAGCATCATCCACGTGTTCTTCACCATCACCGTCGCCACCATCATCACCACCATAACCATCACCACCACGATGTTCATCACTACCCCGGTACTGTCATCATCATCACCGCCACCATACAGCGCCATCACCATCGCCACCATTACCACCACCACCATCAGTTTCATCTTCAGCATCATCATCATCATCATCATCACCATCATCATCATCACCATCACCATCACCATCACCATCACCATCATCATCATCATCATCATCATCATCATCATCATCATCATCATCATCATCATCATCATCACCAGCGTCATCATCACCAGCGTCCTTCGTCACCGTCGTCGTCAACGTTGCCGTCCTCTTCCAGCAGGCAGGGTAGGCCTGGGCCAGGGGCTGCCCCCTCCTCATCCTCCGCCTCCTCCTCCTCCTCCTCCTCCTCCCTCCTCCTCCTCCTCCTCCTCCTCCTCCCTCCTGCCTCCTCCTCCTCCTCCTCCCTCCTCCTCCTCCTCCTCCTCCTCCTCCTCCTCCTCCTGCTTCTCGCCCCCGCCCCGCCGCCCGCAGGCGCCCGCCAAGAAGGCCAGGACGGCCGAGGCCGCCGCCGACGGCGGCGCGCCGGCACCCGCGCCCGCGGGGGAGCCGGCGGGCGGCGCGCCCGCGGAGGCCCCCTCTGCAGCGCGCCGCCCCCGCTCGAGCAGCGGCGGAGCGTCCAGGGCTCGCCTATAGTCAGGAGGGGAAAGAAACACACAGACACAATGAATCGTCGATCCCCAGGAAGATATGGGAGAATATGGGAAGTGGGGGGGGGAAGACAAAGACCCAGAAAAGATGGGAAAATATGGGGAATCTTTTTATTTGTGTGTATTTATTTGTGTGTTTGTGGGCCCCTTCATATAGCCCCACCAAACAGTGTTCTAAGAACCTTTTTGTGGTTCCCACGGAATGTCCCCAGAGCATTTCTGGCGGGCTCTTTTTTTATTATCACATCGGCTTCTTATGTTCTAAGCACATTGGTTTTGTTCTTAGAACATCTCGTGGTGGGACTATAGGGATGCTGGGACGGTCGGTCCCTGCTCAACCCGCGCGGCACGCCGCAGTGGCAGCGTTCGGGTGAGGTGCGGCCAGGAGCTTCGACCGAGCCTCCTGGTGATCGAGGTACACACTGTTCGTTTCTGGTTATTCGAGACGTCTTTGATTTTTTTGGGGCCAAGATCCTTGCATTTCTGATTCTTCTGTACGGGGCCTCTTCCTGGCCACTAGGGGGCCAGGAACAAGTAGAAATGAACACAAGAAATGAACGACGTGTAAAAAAACGGCGGAAACATAAACTTGTGGCGTTCCGCGAAGATTTCATGGATCGGCGCTGGACCCCCCTCGCTGGCGCGCGGAGCGCGCTAGGGGCGGCGCCAGAGGCTCCGCCTGGGGGGTTCCAGCGCGGATCCAAGAATTCCGCGCAGAGCGCCACAAGTTTATGTTTATGCCGCTAATTGTTCTTCTAAAGTTGTGCTCACGATCATCATTCTAGTCCTCCTTCCTTCTTACTTCCTGTCTTGATCAGGCATGCAAGTTTTGACGACCCCTGTTGCATGCTCGCCACCTCCAATAGGTATTCCTTGACAGACGCATCCTGCCGCTGCATAGGTTTTGTCGCACAGAGGGACAAGGGTTCCTTTTGCGTCGGAAGAGAATGCGCCTGAGCGTCGCAAAGAAACGTGGTCGTCTTCGCTGACGTTAGCGCATAAGCTGCCCGCGTAAGGTCGCGCGTCAGCCTCCCAGTTTCCAATGTAGCGTTAGGTCAGGCATGTCCCTCTACAGGAGGGATATTCAAAAATAGTCAAGGCATAGTCTGGGGACGATGTTTAAAGTACGTATGTTTTTTGGGGGGTATTTTTGGGGACCATGTTTTACTTTTCGTCCAAAATGCCCCTGTAGGGGAACAGGGCCGACCTAAATGTAGCGTCGCGCCCCTGGCCCGCGTAAGCCACCGCGCAAGGTCGTCTTGCCATCTCGCGCAAGAGCCCTGCCTTTTCGTCGCTCCGCTGTGCTCGCCCACCGCGCTTCGGCGCGGCACGCGGTTCGCGGCGCGGTCCGCCGACGCCAGATGCCCGAACTTCCCCGAGCCCCCCTCGCCCCGCGGAGCGGAGCGACACCCCATGAGCTTGCAAGGCACATCGCGTCGCCGGGGCCGCCGCCGCGACGCGCTGTGCATGCAAAAAGCTCCCGACCGTAGGCTCCAGGGGCGAAGGAAGAGGAGGAGAAGGAAGAGGAGGAGGAGGAGGAGGAGGAGGAGGAGGAGGAGGAGGAGGAGGAGGAGGAGGAGGAGGAGCAGGAGGGGCAAGAAGAGGCTCATAGGAAAGCAAGGACCCAAGGATGCATGGGACAACAGGGACGAGGAGGGAGGGAGGGAGGGAAGGAGGGGCGGTGCATCGACCCCTCACTGCCCATGCGTCGCCGATGGGGGGCCCGATGGCCCGCCCCGCCCAGGGACGTACGGATGCGCTGCCGGGGGCCTATCGCCGATCTGTCGGCGGTGCATCGCCGATTCCAGGCCGAGGTTTCCCCCCCCGATCGTTCCCCTTCGAGTCCGAGGGCGGCGGGGCCGGCGGCGGCGGACGAGACGACGGCGGAGGCGGCGTCGACCTGTGCTGAGATCGGGGCGCTGCAGCTTCTGCAGCTCCGGGCGGATGCGTCCAGTTCTGCGGGCCGCGGGGCCATGGCAGGTCGATGCGGCTCGAGAGCTACCGCAGAGGCATGCGGTCCTGGGCCCGGGTCGCGATTTTGCGGCACGGCCACGGCGACCAGGGCCTCAGGCCCGTCGGCTCAGCCCAGCAGTCGCTAATGGATCGTGGGGCCGGGCATCCCCTCGCCTCCGAGCTGCCCAGGAGAAGGCCTCCTTGAGCCCCGCTCCAGACGCGGCCACGCGCAGGGGGGG